AAATCTTTGCTAGCAATAGATATTGTCATAGGTCTGACGCTGGGAACTTGTCATATCATCTTCTTTCTCACTAATGACGATCGTGACCATGTATGACCTGACTAGATTTACTTATGTCCCGTGCTTGTTCAAAAGGTCGTTGTCGACTTTTGTTTATTTATTATCTTGTTGTGTCTACAATACTGTTACATTATCGTGGGATTCGGCTTCTGGAGCGTATCCCCTGCATTCGTTCCACGATCAACCATATCGGTCTGTGAATTATTGTTGATAAATAGGGATTGAAACAGTAGTGTTCATCCGTAATCCTTAATGCTTAAATCCCTAATGATTCTTTGTGCAGAGAAGTTTCTCTGAAAGAAGAAAGACCTTCAGGTCTGACAAACAAAAAAAAAACATATCAACACGTCTTTAACACGATCACAATTCGGCAAGTGTTGGAAAGTTGTCAAAGTTTAAAGATAATGATGATGTTACAAACGAGAATAGTAGATGCGTTTGCACAATTATTTCGGTATCACAGTCTTAAAATAAGCTGGGACTTGATTGTGGGAGTGGCGGGCTCGCTGGGTTGGTGTCGCAGACTTGTCTTTGTAAATGACTGACTCGGTGGCACACTAGTTAGTGCCTCTGACTTGCCGATCCACTAACGGTGCTTTTAGGTACCCTAAGCATCGGTCCTTGTTCTCGTCGAACCGGTCGCTTGAGACGAAGGGCTCGGCGAGTAAATTAACCCACAAACAGAGCCCACTGAGTTTCTTGCCGGATCTTCTCAGTGGGTCGCGTTTCCGATCCGGTGGTAGATTCTGCGAAGCACGGCTCTTGCTACGGTTCTTGTTAGCAACGTCGTCAGGTTTAAGCCCCGTGAGCTCACCTACTAATTCGGCGAATCTAGAATAACCCCTCGAGGTTACTAGAATAGATACGAAAAAAAAGCCCCTGACTATTGCGCCGAGGGCCGTAGGTTCGATTCCCGCATCGGGGAAACATTCATCTGATAAACAGGTTTGTTTGTTCTTTACACGCATGGCCAAAAAAACCTCTGAGTTTGCTCTTTTCCAAATAAATGTTAAATATCAAAAAAATATTATAAGTATTTGTTTAACTTTGATCGATATTAAAATGTCAGTTCCAAAAGGAGTCACAACCCATAAAAGTAATTTTATGACTAAAAGAATCAGCGTGCTAAATGGGCACTACACGAGTGGACGGGAAACATCTTTAGGCACTTCTTTTTAACCTACCTCGTAAAATCTACGCTGGTAGCCTAAGCCGCTATTTCAGCTTCACGCGGACGGTTGGTGAGCTCACGGACTCAACCTGAGAGAGTTTGTTAAGGAGCCCTAGCAGGAGCAGTACTTCGCAGAATCTACCACCGGATCGGAATCGCGACCCACTAAGAAGATCCGGCAGGAAACTCAGCGGGCTGTGTCTATGGGTTTTAAGCGCTTATCGCAGCCAATAGACATGCCAATACCGCCGTCCATCTTCAGACTAGAGGTGAAAGTCTCAGAAGATTTACGGCAGTAATTGATAAGATGGACTTACTCCTGTAGGCTATGAATGCGTGGTAGTAATGGTAATTAACGAGGCAATAGGAAGAATTTGGGAAGTTGAATAAAGGGGAGATTGGATCGCGTTTCGTGACGAATAATCTTGATATATTTAGAATAGTTGTGTTTTAATTCCATATAATAATGAACAAGGTCACGGATATGGACATTAAAACGCGAATTTCGCTACAGATCTGCCATTTGTACAAGTGACTCGGCGTAGTTGAACAAGATAGCATGAAATTCCGTTTTTTTTTTCGACTTAAAGCCTTAACGTAATGCAGTAAAGTCTGTATTACAGCGGTGTTTGTTAGTGCTTGTGTTCAATTGGCTATAGCTCGCTCTCTCCTCTGTGCTTAATTCGACCGAAGCTGCTTGTAAGAGTGGTGGAGTTATAGCCATCTTGGGACATGAGGATGTATATGACTGTTCCACCCTTCCAACCGTAAAGCAGTAATGCATCGCAGCAGAAATAGACAAGGTTTTGACACGTAGCAGTAATTACGCAAATTATAATTCGGGCTAGTTTGATTTTTATTACACGACTTTACTTTTTCTTCGTTTATTGTAAATATACTTGAGACCTTAGAACTTATATCTCAAGGTAGGTGGCGCATTTACGTTGTAGATGTCTATGGGCTCCAGTAACCACTGCCCACCAGATGGGCTCTGAGCTCGTCCACCCATTTAAGCAATAAAAAAAATAAAAAATCACGTATTTCATTTTAAAAAAATCGTAATCGTCTGCGGGATTCGAACGCAGGCACAACGCATCGCTTAACAACACCGAGCGTCTTACCCCTTAGGCCACGGAAAAATGTGTAGGTTCCTATGACCTTAAAACGAGGGAACGATGCCAAAAAGCCAATATTACTAACGTGCTCTATAGGTAAGAGGTTTTATAGTCGTTATTTATAGTATTTTTCATACATTCGCTTAATGAAGTTCAGTAATGCTCTATAACTGAGCGTGAACGGTCTTGCGCATTACATTGCTTTGTTGCGTGCGTGTTTTTTTAAATTATCTTTAATATTATTAAACGTTAGACAATATATTTGTGTTCTATTTTTTAATATTTCGTTTCGTGCGTGCCAGAGTACGCGGGTTATTGTGTTAATTTTACGTCTAGGTAAAACAAAAACAGAAGTGAAGTTTTTAAGTAGGCTAAGTTGACTTTGGACGATTTTTATACGTTTGGGTATGTGTGTGTGTGTGTGTGTCTTTGAGTTAATTCACGATGGATACGATTAAAGTGGTCGGTGAATTTGTACGCGAGAGGTCGCCGTTTTCGGTGAGATTTTAATTTCTTAAAAATAATTTTTTTTTTTGGAGGTACATGAATTTTTTTTTCGTAATACAAAATTTGAGGACTTTTTGGCGGGAACGCGAGAAGTGAAGTTGTGTGATTTGTTTTATTTTGTCTATTTAGTGTTTCTTGAGGTTTAAATGTGTAATAACGGTGGTTTATTAACTGTTTAATATCTGTGAAAGTGCACTAATGTGGGAAAATTAAACAAAGCCGCTGAACGTAACTTCACGGGATCCTCCAAAAAGTCCACTGAAAAAAATGAAAATGACCACCATTTTACTGAGATTATATTTCATCCCGTATCACCTCATTTCATTACATTTAACTCCATTATAATGTTATAATATTTCATAAAAACAAGAATATAAATTAAAATAACCTATATGTCTTAGTTACTAGGTCATAAAATCTCTTAAAAATACAAAATTTGAATTTACCTAACTTTACGTATTGTTTACGAGACCTGCCCTTACATTTAATAGTTACGTATCGTTAATCTGATTTTTTTTAAGGTGAACTAAAACGGTAGTTAGTTAGTTCACGATTGACTTCCACGGTAAAGGAATAACATCGTGTAATAAAAATCAAAGCCGCAAAATTATAATTTGCGTAATTACTGGTGGTAAGACCTCTTATGAGTCCACACGGGTAGGTACTACCCTGCCTATTTCTGCCGTGAAGCAGTAATGCTTTTCGGTTTGAAGGGTGGGGCAGCCGTTGTACTGTAAAAACTAAGACCTTAGAACTCATGTCTCAAGGTGGGTGGCGGCATTTACGTTGTAGATGTGTATAGGCTCCAGTAACCACTTAACACCAGGTGAGCTCGTCCACCCGTTTAATTAATAAAAAAAACCTGCAAATATGCCGTAACACGGTCAACATTGTGTCGCAATTCGTAATCGATTGCAAACGCGAAACGATTTAACAGATCGATTGTTGCCAAATCGGGTTAAAATGGTTAAAAAAGAAAATCGATATTAAATTGAGGTGTGTTTAATGAGTAAATTCTATTTTTGTTTTAATTATAATTGTACGTATATTTCAAGCATAATTAATTAAAATAAGAGTATAGTGATGCCACTTATATCAATACATATATTTTTTTCAATTATCTCTTTTAGTGACCTATTTAAATTGTCAGCCTTTGTCGCGATATTCTGCAGAATGCTGCGTAGCGTGAAATCGTCATAATGTATCACCCGCTAATTCTAGATGCAGGCATTGTCCACTCATTGTTGAGTCTGTAACAATTACGTGAAAATCGGTGCGCGCGTTGAGTAATGTTTTTATTTTTATGTTTATTGCTTAGCAGGGTGGACGAGCTCATGGCCCAACTGGTGTTAAACGGTTGCCGGAGCCCACTACAACGTAAATGCCGTCACCTGCCTTGATATATAAGTTCTGAGGTCTCAGTATAGTTACAATGGCTGCTAAACCCTTCAAACCGAAACGCATTACTGCTTCACGGCAGAAATACGCAGGGTGGTGGTATCTACCCGTGCGGACTCACAAGAGGTCCTACCACCAGTAATTAAGCAAATTATAATTTGGCGGGTTTGATTTTTATTACACGTCGTTATTACTTCACCGTGGAAGTCAATCATGAACATTTGATAAGTACGTATTTCATTAGAAAAATTGGTACCCGCCAGCGGTATTCGAACACCGGTGCATCGCTCAACACGAATGCACCGGACGTTTTCAAAAAATAATCATAGTATAGTAATGTTACGCCCTGGGGTTTGGGATAAATAAAATTTCACTAAAATACAACTGAAAAACTGTATTCAACACTTAAAACTCTTAAACACTTCACAAACACTTTAAAATTCTCAATTCGCTTGTTCCGCTTCGCTTCAGGTAATCCTTTCGCTATTTCGCTTCGAGTAGTTCCGATTACTGACTGACTGCGCGCCATCCCTACAACACTTTTATAGTCGATACCTCATCCCCAGAATCATCGAGAATATTCCACACATCTCTCGTAGTAGTCGTAGTTCCCGCTATCTGACAATAGATGGCGTTGTAATTCTCGAGCATTCTGGATCCTTCGACATTCGTTCGACTATTCGGCGATAGATGGCGTTACTCTTACCGGCGTAACTGTAATAATAGTATATCCTTTTTCTTTTTAACAGCTGGACACATGGTTCGGGCGGCCGAAGAAGGCCGGCGCCGGCATCGACCGGGGCTACGACACCGTACCCCGGGGCGCCGAGCCGAGGACGGAAGACGAGGAGCCCAATGCGACCGCCGAGTACACCAGCAAGATAGACGCCCTCGACGACAACCAGCTGCACAGACGATTCGAGGAAATGCTGGTGAGTTGACCGCTGACACCCTAAGAGGCAACAAGTAACGCAAGACATCGTTAAGCCGGTTTCAGACTACGCTATAGTGCCATATAGTGTAGCAGCTTTTTTTTATGCTTAGATGGGTAGACGAGCTCCCAGCCCACATGGTGTTAAGTGGTTACTGAAGCCCATAGACATCTACAACGTAAATGCGCCACCCATCTTTGAGGTATAAGTTCTAAGGTCTCAAGTATAGTTACAACGGCTGCCTCACCCTTCAAAACGAAACGTATTACTGCTTCACGGTAGAAATAGGCAGGGTGGAGGTGGTGGGCAGCGGCTTGGCTCGGTAGGCAGCGGCTTGGCTCTGCCCCTGGCATTGCTGAAGTCCATGAGCGACGGTAACCACTCACCATCAGGTGGGCCGTGTGCTCGTCTGCCTACAATGGCAATAAAAAAAATCTACCGAAGTTCAATTTTGAAACTGTATTCAACACTTAGAACACTTCATGAACACTTTGAATTTCTCAGTTCCCTTCTTCCGCTTTGCTTCAGGTGATACATTCGCTGTTTCGCTTCGAGTAACTCTGATTACTCACTGACTGCGATCCCTAGATCCCTAGATTTATCGAGAACCCCTGATCCTTAGATTTAACGAGAACGTTCTGGGCAAGTCGAATAGCTTTGATGCGTGTTTCCGCTATCTGACAATAGATGGCGTTGTACTCCTCGATCGTTCTAGATACTACTAGATACTTTGATATTCATTTCTGCTAATCGGCGATAGATGGCGTTACTCTCACCGGCGTAACAAACTATTTGCCCCGTTGATTAAAAACTAAAAAACTGCTATTTGATATTTGTGGTTTCGGTGGGTTCCAATTTTGGGAACACGCATTGTAACGCAAAGGCACACTATAGGGTTGAACACAATACAGTTGTTCCTTATTTTGTTTTATTACTAAGAAACTGATGCTTACAGTCCGACATGAATCTCAACGAGGAGAAAAAGGAGCCTCTCCGGAAATATTCGAGGGATCAGAAAAAGAAGATGCTCGTCGCCTACAAGTTCGTTAATACTCAGGTAAGGGATTTTATGACCTCGTAACTAAGACCTTTAGGTCAAGTTTTATTTTAATTTATAATCTTTATTTAACAAAAAAAGATTATATGAAGTGAAATGGAATGAGATGATATGGGATGAAATATAATCTCAATAAAATGGTGGTCATTTACTGAGATTTTTTTAGTGGACTTTCTGGAAGATCCCGAGAAGTTACGTCCAGCGGCTTTGTTTCACTTTCCCACATTTGTGCACTTTCACAGATACTAAACAGTTAATACGTTATTACACATTTAAACCTTAAGAAACACTAAATAGACAAAATGAAACAAATCACACAACTTCACTTCTCGCGCTCCCGCTAAAAAGTCCTCCCTCCCTTTAAAGTCAGGTAAAAATTTTCGATTTTTTTTTGTATATTTTTTTATTGCTTAGATGGATGGACGAGCTCACAGCCCAACTGGTGTTAAATGGTTACTGGCGCCCATAGACATCCACAACGTAAATGCGCCACCCACCCCGAGACAAGTTCTAAGGTCTCAAGTATAGTTACAACGGCTGCCCCACCCTTCAAACCGAAACGCATTACTGCTTCAAGATAGAAATAGGCAGGGTGGTGGTACCCACCCGCGCGGACTCACAAGAGGTCCTACCACCATGTTGCTATTCTTAAAGAGTTTTTGTGAAATTTAACATATCTATTTGTAACTAATTGCTTCGTTCATATTTCGTGGACGCGTAATCTACAGCTAAGGGATCGCGTTGCGCGATCGTTGACCTCGCACATTTCACCGACTTTAATTGTGTTACATTGCTTGCAGGCACGATTAAAAAAAAACGATCAACGAACTATCTGCTTGACATGTATTCGAAAGAAATGCATTTTATAGCATACAATACGAGCATTGCTTATTTATCTATCTACCTATATATATAAAAATGAATTGCTGTTCGTTACTCTCGCTAAAACTCGAGAACGGCTGGACCGATTTGGCTAATTTTGGTTTTGAATTATTTGTAGAAGTCCAGAGAAGGTTTAAAAGGTAGATAAATATGAAAATGCTCGGAATTAAATAAAAATAACAATTTTGGTTTCCCTTTCATGTGTCCCCCGTCGGACGGATTGCTTTTGTTTGTTTTAAGTTTATTTTGTACAAAAGCTTAGGTCTTTTATTTATCGATTGAAGCACTACGAAGTCTGCCGGGTCAGCTAGTCTCTATAATAATATATAAAAATGAATTGCTGTTCGTTAGTCTCGCTAAAACTCGAGAACGGCTGGACCGATTTGGCTAATTTTGGTCTTGAATTATTTATGGAAGTCCAGAAAAGATTTAACAGGTAGATTTAAATATGAAAATGCTCAAAATTAAATAAAAATTACAAATTTTGTTTTTCCTTTGATGTGTCCCCGGTCGGACAAATTCCTTTTGTTTGTTTTAAGTTTATTTTATACAAAAACTTAGGTCTTTTTTAGCTAGTCTTTTATATTTATCATGTCTTCGTTTTTCAAACTCTACGTTAATATTTACAGGAAGGTCGCTCGAAGTTCGAAAAGCCCTCTGATTACGTGGCCTATCTGAACCAGCCCGAGCTGTCTGTCGGGAAACTCCACGGCTGCCTCGAGAACTTGAGGATATCCCTGACTAACAACCCTCTGTCCTGGATCGAAGACTTCGGCACCAAGGGCATCGAGAGCTTATTGACTACCCTCAACTTGTGCTACACGAAGTAAGTGGAAGTACCTTTAGAAACTCTCTCTTTTTCTCCACCTTATCCCACTAGGCAGGTCGGCACAGCTAATTTTTTTCTCCCATTCTCTTCTATCAGCCGTCATATCAACACTCACTCCTCTCTCTCTCTCTCTCATATCATCATTCACACAGTCCATCCATGTCTTCTTTGGTCGACCTACTCTCCCTTTACCTTGCACTGCCATTTCCATACATCTCCTAGTCACATACATCTTCTCTCTACGTCCATACCACGCTAACCGTCCGCTCTAGAAACTAGTCTATTGAAATTGAAATAGCCTTCGAAGGAATGAGAGGGAGGAGTTTAAATTGAGCTATAGGCTCCGCAGAACCTAGCTTAGGCTTTTGTCCGTGTACCGTTTTGCTCATGCTGACCTTCAAACCGTTGAGAGTCTTCAGTTGGAAGCGGTTTACCAAGCAATATCACCAGCTCGGTGGAAGATCTTCCCTTTGTCGTATATCTACAAAGTTAATCTAGACGATGATTTTCTTAAGTTACGTAGGTCATTGGTCACTCATGTAATATATATTTTTTCACGCTACCAGCGGGAGTGGTTTTTATCGGTAAGTTTCCCAACATATACTCGCGGCGACTAGCGGCGTACCAATAGCGTTATCTAATGTGGATGTCGCAGGCGGGTACCAATTTTTCCAATGGAATACGTACTTAACAAATGTTCACGATTGATTTCCACGGTTAAAGGAATAACATCGTGTAATAAAAATCGAACCTGCAAAATTATAATTTGCGTAATTACTGGTGGTAGGACCTCTTGTGAGTCCGCACGAGTAGGTACCATCACCCTGCCTATTTCTGCCGTGAAGGAGTAATGCGTTTTGGTTTGAAGGGTGGGGCGACCGTTGTAACTATACCGAGAAATTAAATCTTAAGGTGTGGCGCATTTACGTTGTAGATGTCTATGGGCTCCAGTAACCACTTAACACCAGGTGTTACCACACAGTCCACAACAATAAGTAATAATAATAATAACTTTCTCTTGGATTATCCTGCGCCACTCCTGCCTATCCTCGGCTGTGTGGATAGCAACGTAGACTGAAGTCTTGAGAGTGGAGCGTATCTGGTCTGACCAACGCATTGGACTTCAGCCTCTGGGCTTTCTTCCGTACACCTTGCCTGTTACCAACAGCTTGTCCATTTCGACAAAGCGGCACGACACGAGAACCCTCTCATCGTGGCCGCCGGTAACTACATTCCCGATCCTGCAGACAGAATGGAAAGCAGTCGACGTCGCCCAAAACATGTCATTTCGGATCCTCCCGATCCACTAACGGTGCTTTTAGGTACCACAAGCACCGGTTATCGTTCTCGTCGAACCCGTCGCTTGCGACGAAGGACTCGACGAGCGAATTAACCCACAGACACAGCCCACTGAGTTTCTCGCCGGATCTTCTCAGTGGGTGGCGTGTCCGATCCGGTGGTAGATTCTGCGAAGCACGGCTCTTGCTAGGGTTCGTGTTAGCAACATAATCAGGTTTGAGCCCCGTGAGCTCACCTATTAGCTAAGGTTACGCTGAAATAGCCTCTCAAGGCTATCAGCATAGGTACGAAATAAATAAAAACAGGTTGTAATTGTAAATTTTGAAGCTCCCCCTTCGAATTTTCCAGCGATTCCCGTTACGACAGAGTCCAGTACGAGTGCATAAGATGTTTGTCGGCGATCCTGAACAACACGGTCGGTATTAGGACGATGTTCGACTGCAGGGAGGCCCTGCCGGTCCTGGCGAGGAGTCTGGACGCGAGGAAGCCACATTGCGCACTGGAAGCTGCCAAGGTGAGCTGCTGATGCTGTGTAAATATACCGACGGGCGAAATGCTACTAAACTAAAGCGACATTTTTGGAATGAGCTCCCTTCCACGGTTTCCCGAGCGCTGTTTATTTATTTATTAAGTTGCACCAACAAAGTGATCATCAATACAACACATTGACAAATTGACAAAAGTTCACGGCAGATGTCACCTCCATTATAGGTGAAATCGACAGTACATTAACAAAAAAAATAAAAAATAAAAATATAATTAAGATTTGATTACATTTGATTGATTGCTTAAGATTAATTTATATTTGATTGGGAAATGATCCGCGACAGATTTTTCCTGTAAGTTATACTTACAAACTTCATATATCTTAAACTGCTTCCAGGTGTTAGCGGCCATATGTCTGATACCGAACGGGCACGAGAAGGTGCTGGAAGCCATAACGATGGCCGGCGAGTCCAGCAGGAAGGCTAGGTTCCTGCCCATCGTCGAAGGACTGGAAAGCAAAAGCCCGGAGAGCTTGAAGGTAGGTCTTTGTACGATTGGTCGTGGACCCCTTTTAACTGGTTATCCAAGGAGAAACCACCTGCCGGTCAGATTAAAATCACCGAGTTCATTTATTTTTAACAGTATGGGCTCAACAATTTTTAAATATCTTTAAAATTATCACTAGACTATAAAGCTTTACAATTTGCTTCAGTATTAGTGGGTTGGGTTCGGTGTATGATGAATCCGTATGGGCAAGTATGACAATTTTGCCAAATTCTATCGCAACGCAAACAGCATTCCGGTATGAACGACGAGACAACCGTTACGCAGTATAATTGAGGATACGACCTCACGTCTCGAGGTCTCCTAGGACGTAGGAGCGCTAAAAGCGCTATCTTTGAATTTTTAATGTTACACACAAATCGAAATCTCTTCCATTCGAACAATGACGTCATAAGTCAATATCGCGGCAATCAGGTACAGAGATGACGTATCAGTTTCGAGTTTGACCGACACTTGCGCGCTGTCAATCTCGTAGTTATTGAATGTTCAAATATGACGGGATTTCGTCACAACGTTTCAAAATTGAAAAGTAAAAGAGGAAATTTTGATCGTTTCGTTGGTCCATTGGTCGTGAGTGATCCTGATCATGGTGCCGGTTCGATTACTCGGTCTGACGCCCCGATAATTGTTATAAAAGCTTTTTGACCTTTTTTTTGTAGGCAGACGACCCTACCTGGGGTGGGGTGCATGGTATCAGTAGTTATAAATATTTTATGAACAGATATGAGTAGAAGGGTTATTTTGATAATATCCTGAAAAGCACCCACGCTTTTTTTTACAATAAAATCATTTTTTCTTACACTATTTTTAATTCAAATTTATTAAAATTTATTTTTTATTTTTTTAAGTGAATTTTCTATAAAAGCTTATTTTGTTAGTTTTTTTTAAACTATTATTTATTTTTCATTTTTTGGTTGATTTTTTTTGCGTATCATCTTTAAGACAGCTCTTTGCGTATTTCAGAACGGCTGCATGCAATTGATGAACGCCATCATAACGGAGCCCGAAGAGTTGGAGTTCAGGCTGCATCTGAGGAGCGAGTTCATGAGGACGGGCCTCTACGACCTGATAGGTAAGTCGCCTTGCTGCTGTCCAGTGACGCTTCTAGCCAAACGTGATCCGTGTCCGAACGGGTCGTATTACCCGGATGTAGAAAACTGGATGTGTAGATTTTAGCAATAGATTGTTTTCAACGCTTCTAGCCAAAAGTGATCCGTGTCCGAACGGTTCGTGTTACCCGGATATTAAAAACTGGATGTGTCAATTGATTTTAATTAACATCAGATTGTTTTTTACTATGAAGCTTTGAATCTTAGTTATTAAATATTAGTAATATTAAAAACCCACCTATTTCCTGTTTATACCTTCACGGCGAAAATTAATTATGTCCGTTTAACACTAAAACATACCAACACTTACTAGTACCTATTTCTACCATAGCGGGTAGAAAACGGTCTAAAACAAGTATTACTCAAAATAAATAAAACAAAACAACAACAAAAAAAGTATAATAACTGTAGATCAATTTATAAGAAAAAGTCATGAAGTCAAATGTGCAAAAGCAATAAGTTGATACGTGATATTCAATGCAAAACCTCAAAATGGGTCATTTGACCCGTTATTATATGTATAGTGTTAAATTAATTATTTTTTTAAATATTAATAAATAATTATTCATCTTTAATTAAGTTAGGATCGTCTGTGCTTTGGAAACCAACACACAGTACAGTACATAAGCATAAAAGGTCTCCTCATACACTTGTGGTCATTAGCTAGAGATCCTGAAATCGCTCAACAACAGCCCTTCTTTATAAAAACCCATCTAGTTATAAACTTGCTAGTAAGTATTCTTTCTCTTTCCATCGCTCGCGTAACTATATCTTCTGTCCCTGTCTCCCGCAGACGAACTGCGCGCCGGCGCCGAAGGCTCCCGCCTCATACAAGTGAACGTGTTCGACTCGCACGCGTCCGCCGACCAGGACGAATTCCTGGCGAAATTCGACGACGTCAGGTAAATTATTATTACATATTTAAGCATTTTTGTCTATGGTAATATGCTGTCTGTCATAAAAAACGAATCAAATAAAACCTGTTTGCGTAAAAAAAAACGAAACCGGCTTCAAATCTAAATGCCATTTTCCCTCCCTAAACCCCTTTAGCCACTAGTGACGTCATAACTTCAGCTTGTATAGAAAATTGCTTAGACGTGCTCGCCTCAATCTCTGATTTAATGACGGACAAACGTTTGGTCCAGCTGTAAAGTCTCTTTATACCTCGTTCGGTGGAAGATCACGTCAATAGTACCCATGAAACACCTTGGAGGGGGGTGTTGGAGGGGAGGTATAAACAAGATTTGTTGAAGTAAATTTGAATTCCCAGAAAACTAAATCGACTAAATAAAAAGGGGGAAGGTACTCACAAAATGCTTGTTATCTTGATATTATTTGTGGTCTTCTGTCCCCGGGGCACTGTTCTGGATTGCTGGAGTTTAAGACACACGGACACACGCACAAGTTGAATAGCGAAATTTGCGAAAAACAGTATTTTTGAATTAAAAGGCCTTTTACTGTTGCGCGCGCGGTGGGAAGCGTCGACTAGTTTTTTTTCTTGGCCCGCTAGGAGGCGCGTTACAATTCTTCATAAAGCCGATAGATGGCGTGGATTAGGAAAAAGGGAATTTTAGTCGGTTCCCTAACAGAGGGTAACTCTGGAAGGTTGATCATCTAGAATAACTTCAGCAGGTTTTGACCCTCACGTATATGTTTTTACTAATAATGCTATTGCTGTTCCCAGGGTCGACTTCAACGATTCGAACGAGTGCTTCGAGCTGGTGAAGAACCTGGTCATAGACACGCCGGCGGAGCCCTACCTGTTGTCCATACTGCAGCACTTGCTGTTCATAAGAGATGACGAGTTGATCAGGTGTATTTCAATGTTTTTTTTTTCAATTATCAACCGCGAGGAGTTTAAAAATGTCCTCTTCAACGAGGCTTATGGAGAGCGCTTAATGGTAGGCAGCGGCTTGGCTCTGCCTCTGGCATTGCTGAAGTCCATGTGCGACGGTAACCACTCACCATCAGGTGAGCCGTGAGCTCGATCACCCCTCTAAGCAATAATAATAATAGCATCGTCTCGTTTCAGGCCGGCCTACTACAAGCTGATTGAGGAGTGCATCACACAGATAGTCCTGCACAAGAACGGGTACGACCCGGACTTCAGGGCGACGCAGCGGTTCAACATAGACGTGCAGCCGCTCATCGACGGACTCATAGGTGCGTGCGCGCTCGCCAAGTATACCCCCTTCCCCGCGACCCCCGCATGGGACGGGAGGTCGCGGGGGCAGCTTCCTAGAAGTCTCAAATCGCCTTATCTATTCTATTTATAAGAATGAACAGTTACTCTTCAGTCTGTTCTAGTAATATATGGGTCTGATATAAATCTCCAGAAAGATTTTTTTTATTGCCTAGATGGGTGGCCGAGCTCACAACCCACCTGGAGTTAAGTGGTTACTGGAGCCCATAGACATCTACAAGGTAAATGCGCCACCCACCTTGAGACATGCGTTTAAGGTCTCAGTATAGTTACACCGGCGGGGCGCCCTTCAAACCGAAATGCATCACTGCTTCACGGGGCAGAAATAGGCAGGGCGGTGGTACCTACCCGCGCGGACTCACAAGAGATCCTACCACCAGTAACTACTGGTAGCGGTACTAATGTATACGGTCTAACAACAGGAAGCGTACAGGTTCGTTTTTATGTATATAAATTTGTTAGAAAAATCTCGAGCCGAAGAAGAGAAGAGGTTGGAGGAGTTGAAGTCGAAGTTGGAGGCGGCGATCGCGGCCAGACAGGAGGCCGAGGCGAGGGCCGCCCACCTGGAGGAGAGGCTGAAGAGTACTGCCTCCCCCACCGCGCCCGGCGGCCTCTCGCAAGGGAACATCGCCGCCATTGCCAAGGTACACGCGACCACTGGTCAAGACAAACCTAACCAGTCCGAAGCTGTTGGGTACGTGTCACACGTGTCGATAAGGCGAGTGAAGTCGTCGTGACCTAAAAGATAAGACGTCCGATGCGATGCACCGGTGTTCGAATCCCGCAGGCGGGTACCAATTTTTCTAATGAAATACGTACTCAACAAATGTTCACGATTGACTTCCACTGTGAAGGAACGACATAACGTGTAATAAATATCAAACCCGCAAAATTATAATTTGCGTAATTACTGGCGGTAGGACCTCTTGTGAGTCAGCGCGGGTACTGAAAAATTAGGATTTTTTAAGATTGACGCGTTATAAAGTATAATAATGAGATATTATGCAGTTTTTCTGAGTATAAGGTGTTCAAAATAACTCATAATATATGAAAACGTAATTTTGGCCCAAAATGTCACATAGGAGATTTAAAATTTGCAACGAAGATAAACACAATCGTAAAGTGGAACATTGATACAACAATTACATGTGGACGAATTACCCACTAAGGTAGTCAGGCATATGGTTCGAAAGATGAAGCGGTTCCCGAGGTTCACGGACATCAGTAATGTGAAAGGCCCAGCTAAACCATCGCGTCTCGATGACTCGTACTAATATTACAAAATACAAATTCGTTACATCCATTTTTTTTTCCTAACTAATTGATGATGGTCTTGAGAGGCCATATCAGCATCACCGGGCGAGTAGGTGAGCTCAGGGGGCTCAAACCTGACGTTATTGCTAAAACTGCCCCTAGCAAGAGCAGTGCTTCGCTGAATTTATCACCGGATCGGAATCGCGACCCACTGAGAAGATCCGGCGAGAAACTCAGTGGGCTGCGTCTGAGGGTTGATTTACTCGCCGAGCCCTTCGTCGCAAGCGACGGGTTCGACGAGAACGATGACCGAAACATCCATATCAATGGTTAGAACTACTAATAATATATGTAATGTATTTTCATAGGCCATAGGCAGTCCGGGGGGTCCCGCGCCTCCCCCGCCGCCGCCGATGCCGGGGGGTGAGTAATGCTACAGCTACACAGGGTCGCATGCAACCCCTTCAAACACAGCTTTCAAACGTAACTGACTAAAACTATCAACTGAGTTGTGCCTATATTCCGTATACAAGTTTATGTAAGTTAAAGAAAATCACTACAAGTGACGTCATTTGTGGTCAAATAAAGGACCGAGCTAACTATAATAGTACATCGATTAGTTTTTTAGCTTGATGTCAGAATAATTAGAGTACGGTATTTATTTGACGAAAATGGTGATTTAAGATACTTGGATCGACAAAAAAAAAAGGAACCTAGACAAAATTGTACATCTTACCCTCATTCACTTAAACAAAAAGTTTTGTAATCATAACAGATGACAGTTTAGTTTCAAATTAACGTTCACTTCTGTTAAAAGTGTAAGAGAGAATTTACTCTAATAAAAGACTTGTTTGTGGTACTTTTAGTGCTTTAATATGCACGAAAAAAAAAGTAGCGGTTGAAATCCTACGAGCACTAATATTGATAACACCATGTTTTAGCTTTATTATTCTTGTTATATTTTATTAATTTCAATACAATTTAAAAATATATATCGAGGGGTGAAAGGTTTAAGCTCCATTTTAGCAACTTTACAGGAGAGCCATTTAAAGTTTAAATATTGAAAAAAAAATCTTAAGAAAATAAATCTCCTCTATTTCAATAGAGTAAACATAATTGAAGTTCAATTTTTAAGGGATTTTCTGACCCGGTAACTAAGACCCTTAGGTCAAATCTTAATTTAATTTTAATGAAAAAAATGTTTATATGAAAAATGATATTATGATTAATATGAAATATGGCATGAAATGAAATGAGATGCCATGATATGGGATGAAATATAATCTCAGTAAAATGGTGGTCATTTACTGAGACTTTTTCAGTGGAAGTCCTTAAGTAACTTCTCGGGGTCCTCCAAAAAGTTTTGTTACGTCCCGAAGTTACGTCCAGCGGCTTTGTTTCATTTTCTCACATTTATGCACTTTCATAATTATACTAAACAGTTAATAAACCACAGTTATTACGCATTTAAACCCGAAGAAACACTAAATAGACAAAATAAAACAAATCACACTTCAGTCCTCGATATACTACTCATATTCACAGCATGTTTATTATTACACGTTGCTATATATTTATATATATCTGTCTCGCTTTTTAGGAGGCGGCCCCCCTCCCCCACCACCGCCCATGCCGTCAGGTTCGTATTGCACGCCACTGATGTTATAGCATTAGAAGTTGTTGATGCAAGTAAACAATGACAAAGTTGACAGCTGTCAAGTGAATTTACAAGTCGAACTCTTTTTTTTTTTATTACATATAAAGTTAGATGTAAATTTAAAGGTTAACAGTTAATGTAAACATAATTTGGAATTTATATTATAATAAGTTCCTAAACAGTTTTTTTTTTCTCTAGGGTGGTTACGTTTTAATCTATCGTAATAATATAATAATTTATAATTAATGACACTAATGTGTCAATGTGTTTTACGATTAATCTTTAATTTACTTAATCGTAAAACTGGCTTCAGGCACACGTCATTTACTATCGTATGATTGCTACTACAGGATCTTACAGGATACTAGTACCTACCCAAGCGATCTCCCAATAGGCTTTATCAACAGTAAAATGTATAAAAAAAATCTCAAAAAAACGGACCAAAATCATGTGTACAACATATAATTCGATCAAATTTATAGTCAAAGTCACAGACTAAAATAAGCGTTTTCTTGATTTTCACATGACAGCTGTCATTACAATGTCACCGTCACAATAGTTCACCAATACTTTTTGGTCTCGTTGGGAATAGATTAAATATAGAATTTAACAATGCACGTATTATTTATTGGCACATTTTTTAATATGGTAACGATAATGTCGGATTTATTAATAAAAAATATTGTAATATTTAATATATTTAAAATGTTATCTTGCATGACACTAACAATAATTAGAACTAATTATATAGTGAGTCCTAACCATGGATATCAGACTTTCTGTCTCAAAGCATGTCTGAAGGCTTTAGGTGCCTTTTTCTAGTGCTCATGACGAATAAAGTGGTCAAATACCGCAATGTCGCCGCCAAATCAAAGCCTCAAGATGCTCGTATGGCTCAATCAAACCCATTCTAAATCAAAGTGCAACAATATCTGAAACATTTTTTCCTGATTCAAACCAATCCAACACCTGTCCTTTTAAAATCGTAAAGCCTCTCGACTTGTGAACGTTGGCTATGCCATGTGGTCAGCTGACTACGGAGAAAGACCCTTTTCGACAACGTGAATCGGAGGGTACTTGACAAAAAATGCTCTCTGAAAACGCACTATAAGCGAACTACGCTCCAGTGTGTTTTCAGAGACGTAGCTAGCTTAGCCTGAGTCGATGCTTCTGCTACTGGCTGGCCTCCTATCATCAGGTCCGCCTACCTCTAGTCAACCTTCGGAGGAAAGCTGAAATCGGCCCAGACTTTAACCAATAGTCTTGTTACCTTTTGATTGTCAATCACGTTATTACGGATCCTCCCGATCCATTAAAGGTGCTTTTAGGTACCTCAAGCACCGGTCACCGTCCGAACCCGTCGCTTGCAACGAAATCGACGAGTAAATTAACCCACAGACACAACCCACTGGGTTTCTCGCCGGATCTTCTCAGTGGGCCGCGTTTCCGATCCGGTGGTAGATTCTGCGAAGCACTGCTCTTGTTAGGCTCAGTATTAGCAATACTCCCAGCTTGAGCCGTGAGCTCACCTACACGTTAGGGCGAAGCTGATATAGTTTCTCAAGACTATCAGCATAGGTAGGAAAAAAAAGTCAATTACATGAACTCCAACTGACACTAATCTTGCATGTTTTCCTCACCACGCATGCAAGCACTTATATTTATTTACTTCGGTTCAGGTGGTGGACCACCGCCGCCTCCTCCGATGCCCACAGGTTCGTAATGTGCTTTTTGAAGCTGTGCTTTTTATTTAAAGCGTATATATGATGGAGGGTGATAATGACAATGACACAAGCTCGCGTCCTGTTAATTGGGCGACGGCTCTTGACTAAAATCGCTAATCGTTTGAAATATCGAAGAGTGAAAAGTTATTTGGGTTCAAGCGACATTTCGCTTAACACGCGACATTTATCTTTGTAATTAAAGGTCCGTTTTATTTGGTATCAGCATCAACAGTGCGATGTTTTTAATTTAACTTCAATTATGTTTAACCCATTCAAATAGCCGAAGAAGTTTTTTGTTATGATTTTATTTTTGTTCAAATTTTAAACTTCACATGGTTCTCCTGTAAAGTTGCAAGAATGTCGCTTAAACCAAATTGCCTTTCATTTTTCGATTTAATTGTAGAATTGTATGTAATGCTTATATTATACGCAAGATTAAAACTGTTTTAAAATAAAATGCTTGCTATTGTGATGAAGATTGCTGACGCATTTCTTTCGTAATGGTTGTGTGTTTGTGGTTTGGTTTGACGTGCAATGCGCGGTAGGTGTTGTCAGCGACAGACTAGATGTTAGCAGGTGTGTTTAGTGCGCAAAATATATAATAACTGTTATATTCTCTGAGAAGAAAACATATTAGGTATTTGTTTGGTAGGCAGCGGCTTGGCTCTGTCCCTGGCATTGCTGAAGTCCATGGGCGACGGTAACCACTCATCACCAGGTGGGGCCGTATGTTCGTCTGCCTACAAGGGCAATAAAAATAATAATAATTAAAATCTTAATAATGTTACGTCGCTCGCAACACCCTCTTGCTTCAATCAGCATCTTGCTTAAGGTAGAGCTTATAGTGTATTTCTTGTTCAGCAGGCGGAGGCCCCCCTCCACCACCACCCCTGCCGGGCATGGGCCCGCCACCGCCCCCCATGCCCGGGATGGGCGGTCCCCCTCCTCCGCCCATGCCGGGTATGGGACCACGGCCGCCACCGCCGCCCGGTGGATTTATGGCACCGAGGATGGTAAGTTTTTCAATATTTTACAGTAAATTAAGTCGGTTTTAATATTAGGCTCGGTTCTTACCTTTAGTACTTTTCTAGTTGGGATTTTCCATTTCCTGTTGATGTTCAAAACCTTTCATAAGTCACTGAATCCGACTAAAAATTTATATATATTTTTATTGCTTAGTAGGGTGGACGAGCTCACAGCCCACCTGGTGTTATGTGGTTACTGGAGCCAATAGACATCTACAATGTAAACGCCGCCACCGACCCTGAGATACAAGTTCTAAGATCTCAAGTATAGTTACAACGGCTGCCCCGCCCTTCAAACCGAAACGCATTACTGCTTCACGGCAGAAATAGGCAGGGTGGTGGTACCTACCCGCGCGAACACACAAGAGGTCCCACCACCAGTATATATATTTGTGATGTATATATATTTGTGATGTATATATTTCTATGAGACCCGAAAAGCTAAAACAGACATTAAAAACAAAAGAAAGTTAGGCAATCCAGGCGGTTTAGTAACAGAAATCGACATAATTACTTCAGTGCGCCACGCAGGACACCGGTGACCTACACGACAGTCAAAGGGTTAAGATAGTGGTTGTTGACTTGAATACTATTTTTAGCCTCAACCCGACATCCTCCCGCACGGTCTCAAGCCGAAAAAGAAATGGGAGGTCGAGGGTCCGTTGAAGCGGGCCAACTGGAAGACGATAACGCCGCAGAAGATGTCCGAAAAAGCATTCTGGGTCAACGTAAGTCGGATTTATCTCTACGTCGTCGAACTCGGCAAAGAGCTCGACGTGCAACCTAACCCATGAACCAGCCCGCTGAGTTTCTGGCCGGATCTTCTCAGCGGGTCGCGATTCCGATCCGGTAGTAGATTCATTCGCGAAGCAGCTGCTCTTGAGTTGTTAGGTCTCCATCGGAGGCGCTCGGGCAGCTTTTAGCAAATCCCACCCCTCCTGGCAGAGCCTTTGCTCGCCCACCTCTCCTAGTGAAACTGGAAAGGCCTCTGGGGCACCAGAAATCCTTTAAAAATAAAAAGGTAGAAATATCCAACTCAGTAAAGTTGCAAAAATGTCGTTTAAACCACATAGACTTTTACCTCTCGATATTGTTTCGACATATTTAGGTGCAGGAAGACAGATTGGCATCCCCCGACATCCTGAGCGGCTTATCGCAGAAGTTCTCAAGCAAACCGGTCGCCAAGAAGACCGAAGATGCAGTGGATAAGTAAGTACGGGCCTAGTTCTTCATCTTTTTTATTTTTTAACTCCGGCACGGTTTGTGCATTGGTCAGAATCAAGTAATAAGATTTTTATAATTCGCCGTTTTAATTATTAAAAAAACGAAGGAAACTAATCGTGACATAACATAAATGATTAAAAACGAATGTGATGAGATGATATGGGATGAAATATAATCTCAGTAAAATGTTGGTCATTTAGTGAGACTTTTTCAGTGTACTTTTTGTAGGATTGCGAGAAGTTACGTCCAGCGGCTTTGTTCCAGTTTCCCACATTTGTGCACTTTCACAGTTATAATAAACAGTTAATAAACCACCGTTATTACACATTTAAACCTGAAGAAACACTAAATAAACAAAAAAAAACAAATCACACAATTAATCACTCCTCGCGTTCCTGCCAAAAAGTCACGGGCCTAGTTGTGATGGCCAGCTCCGAAAATGCCACGTCAATAGTGGAGTTTTATAGCGATGGCATTTGTCATAAGAGCTCATAGAAATGTGCTCAGATACACTGACTGACGGTGGTGCAGTGGTTAGCGATTCTGACTGTCGCGTCGAGGGTCGCGGGTTCGATTGCCGCATCGGGCAAACATTTGTGCGATGAACAGATTTTTTGTTCTTCGTCTGGGTGCTTATTATCAACAACGTATTTAAGTATATAAGTATGTATGTCAGTCTGTGGTACCCATAACACGGAGAATCTTAATTAGTTATTTATTTATTATATATTTTTTATTTACAATTACGGTAAACAGCACTATTTCACGGCACATCTAGTGTTTCCCTGGGGTTCATAGACGTCGTCAATGAAAATTCAGCCATGCGTCTCAAGACATAAGTTCTAGGTTTCCGTTGTGTAACGATTGACATCTACCCACATTATTGCTTCACTAGCGACCCGCTCTCGCCTAACGTTAGGAACTGTAATTTATTATTGATTATAAAAATGAGATGGCAGATTTTTTTTCTATGTACTTGACAACCATCCTTATATTTTGGGGTAATTAACACTATATCTTTATAAATTATAGTCAACGTGTTATTCTGATGTGTAAGCTATATTATTGTAAAGTTTCATCAAAATCCGTTCAGTTGTTTTTGCGTGAGATAGTAACAAAGATACATCCTTACATTCTTACGAACTTTCGCGTTTATAATATTAGTAGGATTATTACGACCTTAAATTCAGTTTCCATTGGTTCTCAATATTGTAAAAAAAACGAACTCTTTTCTTAATTCAGATTTCTAATATTTTGAAGCTCTCCTCCTTTTCCTCCTTGCATCGATAATCCTCAGTGCTGTCGGTCGTGGCCTCCTCTAATAACTTTCTCCTGGATTATCCTGCGCCACTCCTGCCTTTATAATATTAGTAACATTAGTGGTATCCATTCATGGTGAGCTTCGTAGGCTGTTGCGATAGACAGTGCCATGATGTGGCTAGCTGCAAGCTGCAAGCCCTTCTACCTTTAAGGTCCTCTCACCTCTCAAAGGGCAGGTTCCATTACAGGGCTCACACTCTGAAGAAAGTACGCGACCTGAAGGTTCTGGACAGCAAAGCGGCCCAGAACCTGTCGATCCTGCTCGGCGGCTCGCTCAAGCACATGTCGTACTCGCACATACGCACGTGCGTGCTGCGCTGCGACACCACCGTGCTCACCGGGAACGTGCTGGATCTGCTTATACAGGTGGGTTCAGCTGATGATGAAGTGGAACCTTCAGACTAAGATGAGGAATTAAATAGCAGATCTATAAGTGGATGAAGGGGTTGAGTGCCTTTTTTATTGCCCTTGTAGGCAGACGAGCTCACGGCCCACCTGATGGTGAGTGGTTACCGTCGCCCATTGACTTCGGCAATGCCAGGGGCAGAGCCGAGCCGCTGCCTACCGCTTAGGCTACCGCTCCACAAGCCTCGTTTGAAGAAGAATTTTTTAAGATTATTGAATTTTTTCACATTGAATAAAGGTGTGATGCGCCTATATTGAACCTTAAAACTCCAGGCTTAAAGGCTATATTTTGAAATTGCGTGTGATGCAGGATTTATGTACGAAGAAAAAGTACATGTAACAAAAGTTTGTTGTTCGTTTTCTCAAAATTAACAAATTGTATCATGTCCCCTTGATCCGCTCATGTCCAATACCGTCTTTACCATAAGGGCACACGGGGCCCGTGCCCAGGGCCCCCATTCTCAGGGGGCCCCGAAAGACCGACAATTTCTCTCACACGGTTATTCTCAAAACATTTTTGTTGGGCATATTATACTTTTTTCACAAATCAGTAATCAGAAGGTAGTACCTCGAGTCCGCACGGATAGATACTACCGCCCCGCCTATTTCTGCCGTGAAGCAGTAATGCGTTTCGGTTTGAAGGGTGGGGCAGTCGTTGTAACTATACTGAGAACTTAGAACTTATATCTCAAGATGGAAGGTGCATTTACGTTGTAGATGTCTATGGGCTCCAGTAACCATTTAACACCAGGTGGGCTGTGAGCTCGTCCACCCATCTAAGCGTACAGACAAATGCCGTTACGGTATCTTTAGTTCGCCCATTAATGACTCGTCTCCTCCAGTACCTGCCGCCGGCGGACCAGATGAAGAAGCTGGCGGAACTGAAGGGCAACAGCGAGGAGCTGACCGAAGCGGAACAGTTCGCGGCCACCGTGGCCGACGTCAAGCGTCTCGTGCCCAGGCTGAGGAGTCTCGCCTTCAGGGAGCACTACGCCGAGATCATATCCGAGATCAAGCCGGTGAGCTCGCGGATTTAGTTGATACGTTTCACGCTCGATGGCGCTGTCATCAACTTTTATTTGTTAGTTGAGTTTTTTTCTACCTAAGCTGATAGCCTTGAGAGGCTATTTCAGCGTAACCTTAACTTGTAGGCGATCTCGCGGGGCTCAAACCTGACGACATTGCTAACACGAACCCTAGCAAGAGCCGTGCTTCGCAGAATCTTCCTCTTGAATACTGATAAATGGCGCTTTGATAAATTAAAAATTAGTAAGAGACACGACGTAAACTAACTTATATTTTTATGTTTTTTTTTTGTATCCAATATAACTCCACTGCTCATTAATTCATTTAATTTGTATTCCGAACAGGACATAGTGTCGGGCACGGCCGCCTGCGAGGAAGTCAAGTCTAGTCGAAAGTTCGCGAAGATTCTGGAGCTGGTCTTACTGGTCGGAAACTACATGAACACCGGATCGAACAACGCGGGAGCTTACGGGTTCGAGATCAGCTTCCTCACTAAGGTAAAGCTCTCGATAGAACTGTGATAACGATGTAACCATTCAATCGAATGTCGACCTTATCGTAATACAATTTAAGCTTGTATTACAAAATAATTCGAATAACGCTTTTAAGCTTGTATTACAAAATAATTCGAATAACGTCTTATGTGATAATGGCCTTTTCATTCAGTTCTACCTCGTATAAAGCGGTGATCGGTGTCAATAGACATGGCAACGTGAATGTTGGATTGAGACCCCAGGTCGACTGCGTGAGACTATTACCCTAAGCCACCACAAAGAAAACCTCTAAAAACTATGTATGTGGTTTTTTTGTCGATAAATATCGATAAATCCATCATTAGGGAGAATCTAAGTATTCTATATCGAGACTTTTCCACGACGGAAATTAGACCTTAATCACTGATGCCACAGAGCTCAGATTCGTTTCATATATTGTAAGACTTTCATCCCCGGATATATTTAATTTTTTATTTTGTTATTATGAGTATATTATTTAAAAAAAAGTGAACTAGAAGACTAAATAAAAAATACCGGTTACATACAAACCAGAAACTTTTTTTTGGACAATATATGTATATGTGTGCTGTCCTCAGCTGACTGCGACCAAGGACTTGGAGAACAAGCAGACCCTGCTGCACTACCTGGTGGAGACCATCGAGAACAAGTTCCCGGACGTTTTGAATTTCTCCGAGGAGATGCCGCACGTTGATAGGTGGGTGTGACTTTTGTTGCTTTAGTTTTTGCCTACCCTCCGCTAGCGATAAAAAAAAAACTATACTGGCTTCTTCAAATGCTTAGGAGAGCTCACGGGGCTCAGGTGCGGTACGAACTAAAGAAATCTGACGTGGTTACCGGAGCCCATAGACATCTACAACGTAAATGCCGACACCCACCTTGAGATATGAGTTCTAAAGTCTCAGTATAGTTACAACGGCTGCACCGTCCTTCAAACCGAAACGCATTACTGCTTCACGGCAGAAATAGACTAGGCGGTGGTTCTTACCCGCACGGACTCACAAGAGGTCCTACCACCAGTAATTACGAAAATTATAATTTTGCGGGTTTGATTTTTACTACACGATGTTATTCCTTCGCCGTAGAAGTCAATCGTGAACATTTATTAAGTACGTATTTCATTAGAAAAATCGGTACCCACCTGCGGGATTCGAACACCGATGCATCGCTCAATACGAAGCCACGACGACTTCAAATCACTACCCTCACACCCTGCTTTTTTTATTTCTTACAGGGCAGCAAGAGTTTCGATGGAGAACATTCAGAAGTCCCTCAAGAAGATGGAGAACGACATAAAAGCCCTAGAGATGGACCTCAACAATTCGAGGGTCCAGCAGTGCCCCGACGACCTCTTCTATGAGACAATGAGCGTATCCTTTATGAATGTACCGGTCTTGCTGCGGCCCTCGGTCCTCGCGTGACCGAAGACTGTTCAAGGGTATAAGATGCAGTTAGCCCTTAAATAAAATACCACGATTGATTGGCGTCTCGGCCTCAATGATAAGGCGCCGTACTCGCATCGATGTCACTGTGCCAGAGTTCGAATCGCGCGAGCGTGTGGTATTTAAAAAAAAAAAAAACAAAACTTCGTGAATATATATTTAAAAAAATCTCTTACATACCGTATAAAAATATCCTCTTATAAATCGTAAATATATAAAAAAAAACGTATATTAAAAAAACTTCCACTCGAACCTTCCATGTTGAAGAAGTAATGTGGTGTGTTAGAAATAAAACCGACAAGAATTTTGATTTATATACGAATATTATGCAATTGTGATGCGGACTAGGGATGAATGATATTAGAAAAACATCGATAGCAAAATATTTATGTCTAAAAACATCGATGTTTATTCAACATAAATGTCGAACATCCCTAATGCGGACCTCCAGTCAAGTCTCAAGAATCTCTCTGGAAAAACTTGCACTGGTCAGTGGCGTCTTATACTAAGTATTCTAGTACACTGTCTTACAAACCTGTCACTCCAACTTAGGTGCATTAGTCAGAGGCCACCATAGTATTTTCTTCTATTATAATAATAGTAATAACTGGGAACAAATCACGCAAGGTTCTCCGGCCGCAATTCAGGATTCCCTGTGTTATGGGTACCAGAGAGTGACAAACATACATATATACGTTTAAATATATACAAATGTATACATAAGAAACATCCAGACAAAGAGTAAACACATCTGTTCGTCAACCCGCAAAATTTGCGTAATCACTGGTGGTAGGACCTCTTTTGAGTCCGCGCAGGTAGGTACCACCACCCTACCTATTTCTGCCGTGAAGCAGTAATGAGTTTCGGTTTGAAGGGTGGGGCAGCCGTTGTAACTATACTAAGACCTTACAACTCATGTCTCAAGGTCGGTGACGCGTTTACGTCGTAGATGTCTATGTGCTCCGGTAACCATTTAACACCAGGTGAGCTCGTCCACCCATCTCATAGTGGCTCCCGTGTCCACTTGAGCCCGGGACTGAAACCATTAGAAATACCTTCCTTGACCGGAGCCGTACAGGGGTTCGCCAGCGAAGCCCGCGAGCAGTGCGACCTGCTCCACTCCATGTTCCGGAAGATGGAGTCGCTGTACGGCGGCTTGGCGGAGTACTACGTGTTCGATCCGCAGAAGTACACCCTCGAGGAGTTCTTCTCGGACGTCAAGACCTTCAAGGATTCCTTCATGGTATGTGACGTCACTGGTGCCTGCCAGAATCCCGCTAATGTTAACTTGTTTAAGGGATTTTGTAACATGGTAACTAACACCTTTTAGTCAAGTCATATTTTATGATATGAGATGAAAATATAATCTTAGTAAAATGGTGGTCAATTACTGAGACTTTTCCCACATTAGTGCACTTTCACAGTTATACTAAACAGTTAATAAACCACCGTTGTTACGCATTTAAACCCGAAGAAACACTAAATAGATAAAATAAAACAAATCACACTACTTCACTCGTCGCGTTCCCGACAAAAAGTCCCTAATGTTAACGTAAAAGTTTTTGAATACAACCCGCGAAATGTTGGCAGATTTATAAAAACTAGTCGCCCAGTAGTCGAAATTCGACTATAATTAATTTATATTGTAAGTTTGAAAATTATTATGGTTCTATTGTTAAAGACTTTATTACTTCTATGATCGCAGATTTCGCCAAGACTACACTATAGATAAATAATATTGAAGACAAACAATATTAATCTATTTTCAATTTGATCACAGACTTTAACAAAAAACAAAGGAGTATATATGCGTGTGTGTGTGTCAAATGCATGGTAATGTGTGTAATGTTTTTTTTATATTGATTCAGTGTAATTTTTTATGCATAATTAAAAAAAAATAGCATTTCGCACTCTTTCTCTATATTCTCTATAAGTGGGAAAGGGGAATGCCCATTTCAGGCCCAAAGTGGACAATAGATTAGAGAAAAAATACTTAGTTCATTAATTTTAGCATAAATAAATGTGCATTTGCTTTCTTCTAAATGAGCGTCACTACAAGAGAATTAGAACTTATATCTGAAGGTGGGTGGCGGCATTTACGTTGTAGATGTCTATGGGCTCCGGTAACCACTTAACAAAAAGGAACCGCGAGCTCTTCTAATGATTGAAGCACTAACATGTCTCGTTGTCGTTGTACAGCACGCGCACCAGGAGAACGTGCTGGCGCGCGAGGGGGAGGCGCGGGCGCGGAGGGCGAGGGAGGCGCGCGCGGCGGCCGAGCAGGAGCGGCGCGACCGGCAGCACCGCTACAAGCAGTTCGTGGACATGGAGCAGGCGCAGGACGGGGTCATGGACAGGTAACCGCCCGCCCCGACGCCCCTGCACTCACCCCCCCGCTCCGGCCCGAGGGGTAGAAGAAGGGCTAAAAGATTAGACGTCCGGTGCATTCGTATGTAGCGATGTCAACGGTGTTCGAATCCCGCAGGCGGGTACCGATTTTTTTAATGAAATTCGTACTCAACAAATGTTCACGATTGACTTCCACGGTGAAGGAATAACATCGTGTAATAAAAATCGAATCCGTTGTCGATGTCTATGGATATCAGTGATCAATCTTTGCAGTAAAGATAATACTCGTACTAGCTTCCGACATCCGTATCTATCTGAATTCTAAGAACAATGGATTTTGTCAACGCGTCAAACGAGAATCGTCATCAGTATATAGTTTTATTTATTTATGAAATCAACAGTATAATCCAAATATTGAATATTTATTATTACACATATTATTATGTACATTAACTTACACTATAAAACTAAGTAATACTCAATCATCATCAATCATCAATCAACCAATAATGAATTGCTTCTCTTACAGTCTGATGGAGGCGCTGCAAAGCGGATCTGCCTTCAGCAGAGAGAGGCCCAGGAAGAAGGCCAACCCCCGCGTCGCTGGCGGTCAGTACTCCTCGACCCTAACATTTACTTCTTTACTGGTGGTAGGACCTCTTGTGAGTCCGCCCGGGTAGGTAACATCACCCTGCCTATTTCTGCCGTGAAGCAGTAACGCGTTTCGGTTTCAAGGGTGGAGCAGCCGTTGTAACTACCTGAGACCTTAGAACTCATATCTCAAGGTGGGTGGCCGCATTTACATTGTAGACCTTTATGAGCTTCGGTAACCACTTAACACCAGATGGGCCGCGAGCTCGTCCACCCATCTAAGCAATAAAAATAATAATTATGAAACGTTTTAAAAAAAATCCAAAATGTGGGTAGTTAACAAAAAACTCAACTTATTTGGGTGAATCAACTATGACATAATAAGTCATGTAGGAACAACTCGTCGTGTGCCGATGATAATAATATAAACTTCCATTAAAATTGGCGTGGTCAGTTAAAGATCCAAATGTATCCCATTCAATATTGTCTCAATGATCCATTATGTACTTTAATTTAGAAAAAAGAACAGTTATAACCCTCAGCTTTTGAATTCGTAGATAAAATCGACATAAATAAAAATATATATCCATATCATACATTCTTATGATAACGCGGTGATCTTATAACGCGATTTTATATATTCGTGTAATACGCACGCCTCCCCAGTATAACGCTGGTATTACCCACATATTTTGTATGTATTCATGTCTATATATTAATATCAGACATTGTTATGATAACGCGGTGATCTTATAACGCGATTTCATATATTCGTGTAATACGCACGCCTCCCCAGTATAACGCGGGGATTTCCCGCATATTTTGTATGTATTCATGTCTATATATGACTTTCAGAAATTCTCATGATAACGCAGTGATCTTATAACGCGATTTCATATACTTCATGTAATACGCGCATCTCCCCCGTACAACGCGGGGTATATTTTGTATGTATTTATATTGTTCTTATATTCATTTAAATAAGACGCAAATGTTCAATATTCAATTTGATATTCTTAGGAGCGCGTTATACATTAATAATCGTATAACGCGGTAACAACGCACCGTGTAATAGATGAGGGGAGGGGCGTGTATTTATGACAGATTTAAACTCGGAACACAGTCATCGCATATTAGTTTTGAAATATTATCACGGCACTTTCCATTTAGAGCCTTAACGTCTAGTTCATAAGTTTCATATTAGTTTGTCGCTTTCACGCACTCATAGAGGATATGAATGATTTCACGGATGAGGAGGGACTTGTCCGTGCTATACTGCAGCGTATCGAAGGTAGGTTCTTAGTCACGGTCATCATAAGGCTTAACAAGATTGTCGCACGATTCTGAACCTTATCCCTGTGGTATTAGAGACGGCCAGAGCGTTGAGCTGCGGTCGCAGGCTCATCGGCCGACACAAGGACAGCGCACCGCAAATCGAGACATACAGACAAGTTATAAGCTAATTTTCATGTACAGGGTGTGGTAAAAATGAAAATTATATATCTATATATATTTAAAAAAATCGATTATTGGCATTCCACAGCAACAGAATAAGCGTTTTCAATCAAACCGTCTGTGTCATTAACAGTAACAATAGATTCTCAATATGTGTGTAAATAGCCTTTCACTCCTTGAACTGTAAATTTTTCTAATCTAAATGCGATTTTCATTTTGCTACACCCTGTATAGTTAGTTGTTCGAGAAAACTTTGCTTCAATTTTCTGTGAAAGTACAAAAAAATCAACTAGTGTATTCAGACCGTTATCGAAACGTCAAGAATAATGGAGGTGACAATAAAATATGCAATATTAAATTATTGAAAATATAATTTTCTAAAATTAATTGATCGATTCAGTAAGGTAAAAATTCTTAGATTTTTTTGTCACAGAAATTAGGATAATGTTTTATCTATAACTGAATTTAGGTATTACTCAAATTCTTGTCAATTTTCGACTGTAATGTTTTGGTTTTTATAAAAAAAAAAATGAAAATTGAAGCATAGCTTGGTCGTTGTTAACTAATTCGGTGTAGTGATTTTTTAGAGCTTTCGTCCGAGCTTTCGATGTTGTTAAGTATAACTAACGCTATATCGTTTGGGTGAATCGATCGCGCTTAACCGAAGCTACTGTTTAACCCTTTGACTGTCGTGTAGGTCACCGGTGCCCTACGCGGCGCACTGAAGTAATTATGTCGATTTCTGTTACGCTTTAGTAAGGATTGGCCTAACTTTGCCTTCTTTTTTTTGTTAATGTTTTTATTTTTTACTGCTGGTAGGACCTCTTGTGACTCCGCACGTGTAGGCACCACCGCCCTGCCTATTTCTGTCGTGAAGCAGTAATGCGTTTCGGTTTGAAGGTCGGGGCAGCCGCTGTAACTATACTGAGACCTTAGAACTTATATCTCAAGGTGGGTGCCGCATTTTCGTTGTAGATGTCCATGAGCTCTAATAACCACTTAACACCAGGTGGGCTGTGAGCTCGTTCAGCCATCCAAGCAATAAAAAAATCTCTTAATTCTCTTAGAAATAGTTTCATTCTCAGTATTGTTTGAATTAGTCTTTCCCGGAGTCTACTAGATATTCCGGCGTCTTAGTAACAGAAATCGACATAATTACTTCAGAGCGCCGCGTAGGGCACCGGTGACCTACATGACAGTCAAAAGGTTAATTCGATTACCTCATGTGATTTCAATTGCGGACCTCAAAGTAATAGGTTCATGGTTTTGAGACAATAGAGATTAGTCTTCGCGGGCCTATGGGATAAGTCGGCCCGGTGCATACGTATCGATTTGTTATAAGGGACTCCTAAAAGTGTATTTAAAAAAAAACAGTGTACATCATTTAATTATCAAGATAATGTTATAAAAAAGAAATTCTTAATATTTTAGACTTTTGGGCTGGTAGGAAGGACGTCTTGTGAGCCCGCACGGGTAGGTACGCACCCTGCCTATTGCTGCCGTGAAACAGAATTTAGGTTCGAAGGTCGTGCTGCGTGAACTGAGGCCTTAGAACTCATGTCTTAATTTAAGTGGCGGCATTTACGTTGGTGATGTCTACGGACTCCGGTGCCGACTAGAAAAAAATGTAGTACTCTCTTACAGTATCTTTGGATATTAACAGAATTCGGACGTTTGTCTGTCGGTTGTTTATACACTCTGGCTAATCAAGCTCCGTTTCCTGCTACCTCAGCACCTTTCATAGTACACCTACATCGGATTCACACCAGTGAGTCAGCCTCCATCATCCTCTCATCCAAGACGGTTGTCCTAAATAATTTAAAAGGTTTTTGAAGTGAAACTTCTTTAGGCGCGTTCAGAGTAAAATGTAACACACGACAGATTCGTTACGGCTAGAGAGAAAAGATACAATTTGGAAAGAGCGAGAGTGAGAAAATACATAGAGCGTCTCGCGAACCACTCGACCGTCGAGAGAGGGAAAGGACAAAACGAGCTAGGTCGTTTCTCTTATACACAGCATTCCCTATTACAAGAAGAATTTGATTTTAGGATAAAAAAAAGAAGATAACCACAATACTACACGCCGCAAAAGAAGTTTCACTTCTATCACGTGCATCAAGTCGCACGCGCACCATTTCTTCAAAAACTTAATTATTCGGAAGCTCAACAGTGCGACAGAGACACGCTTATACGAAGTCGAAGTCGATGTCTCTTTCTAATTGTCGAAGGGCGATAGCCAACCTCATGAATGGCCAACTGACAAAGCTTGACGCTAACCCTCCAGAGTTACGTCTTCTTTGTGCTTAATGCGAGTTTTTTAACGTTCTCGACACCGTAAAAGTTAACTCGTATTTGTTTGCAGCTGGTACAGCGCCCCTAGCGGCAAACGTAGGCTAACGTTCCTACAATACAAATTCGAATTAACTTTTACGCTAGCGAGAACGTTAAAGAAATCTCGCACTGAGCACGCGGTATCTCTTTGCTTATCGATGTGGTCGCGTGCATGGTAGTGACGTCATTTCCAAGGGATACTCTTGGTAATTTTTCTTTTTTTTTTGTTCTCCAGCTGAAAGAAGAGCTCAGCTGAGCAGGTCCAGATCCAGGTCAGGACTCACGGGATCGATGACTACAAGAGAATTGACTAAGTAAGTCGCTTAGTAACTTTTTTTTTTATTGCCCTTGTAGGCAGACGAGCATACGGCCCACCTGATGGTGAGTGGTCACCGTCGCCCATGGACTTCAACAATGCCAGGGGCAGAGCCAAGCCGCTGCCTATAACTATATACTTTACTATTTACTTTTACTATATAACTGCCTATATACTTCGACATGCTTCTATTGGCTCGGTGTGTATATCGAGCCGTGAAAGGCTATTTTGAGTTAAGTGATATTTCACTTAACACGCGACATTTATCTTTGTAATTAAAGGTTCGTTTTATTTGGTATCAGCATCAACAGTTCGATGTTTTTAATTGAACTTCAATTAACTTACCCCATTCAAATAGCCAAAGTTTTATTTGTTATGAAATTTTAAACTTTAATTGGCTCTCCTGTAAAATTGTAGAAATGTCGCTAAAACCAAATATCCTTTTACGCTTCGATTATGTATTGTTACGTGCTCGGAATAAATGATGATAATGCTCACCGTAGCTGTTGTACTGAGAACTTGAGACTTGGAACTCATGTCTCAAGGGTTTGTTGAGGCGGTTTCTATGAGCTCCGATGACCAGTTAGCACCGGTTAGACAGTGAACTCCCCCAACGATCTAAGCCAAATATATACGTTGGTCAATGGTAACGCCCAGGGTAAAACGTCTCATGGCTAATGGAATCACGTTAGGCAGCGGCATTGCTGAAGTCCATGGGCGACGGTAACCACTCACCATCAGGTGGGCCGTGTGCTCGTCTCCCTGCAAGGGCAATAAAGAAAACAGCAAGTGCACAAAAAGTACACAAGTATTTTACTATTATATTCCTGCTTTATATATTATTATAGTTTGATTACCCCCTTGTATATCTTAACATAGTGACGTATATTATTAATATACTGAATATTTTAATAATTGACTGAATTTAACGATTGTCCTAGTCATAATTTTGAACTTTTAATTATTTCTTATACTTAAATTTGTAATTGCTGTGAAGTAGTCTAATGGAACTATTCATTCCACACACAGACCCTACTGATACAGCAATGTCAGATCAAAGGGTAGGATGATTTTAAGTGCGGGGAAGGAGTCAAGGTGGATCTTACTAATTATCAATCTTCTTTTCCAGCGAATTATTAAGCAACGCGTGATAACAATTGCCATCCGAACACCGAGTGATATTTAATAAAAAATTATAATAATAACAATAATAATATGTATTATTTAATAAATCATAATTTTTTAAACGCCAAGCTAGTTAATTGTTAGTTTTGTAAGCGCAATGAAATGCGAAACGTCATTGGACAGCGAAGTGGTTAAGACGCTGCGTCTCGGTCGCGCATCGCGCTATCTCTCTCGCACGCGCTGCCTGATATTTGGGATGACACTAGATGCATAGAGATTGTTTGTTTACTTACCTATTCGCTAATTAGCTTATGGGCTATTCCAGCTATGCGCGGGTAGGTCGGCTCACGGGTACAGCCTTAGAGAATTTGTTAACATTAGCCTTAGCAAGAGCAGTGATTTGCTGAGTCTACCGCGGGATCGGAATCGCGATCCATTGAGAAGATCCGGCGAGTAACTCGGTGGCTATGTCTATTGGTACATTGAGATATCGTCTGTGTTCAATTCGGATTCATAATGTACTGTTCTTGCATGCTAACTAGACGTTTGCACGTTGGAGGGTTTTTGAAACAAACAAAATAAAATTATAACTACCCTCGTGCCTTTTAAATAAATTGTTTAAATCATGCAAACCGTTTCATTAAACTATCAAACAAACATACAAACACTTGTCCAAGACACATTAAAAAATCTATGAATTTCAACAAGTTTGTTTTTTTGTCGGTACTTAATTCTTATAATATGCGGGTAGGCAGTTTATTGTTAATGAAGTCAGGTGTTGTTACATTGCGGCGTTTGGACGTGCCTTGTTGAATTTAACGATTTTTCTGTAACAATATGAATTTTTGATGCAAATAAAAAAATCGATGAACACGTTGGTCATTGTCATTGTCAATGATGATCGCCGAAGCGACACAACAAAACGATCGATACGATGCTTACTGATACTTAATATTAAAATTCCAGATTGAAGCTGTGATTTTTGTTGTTGTTTGTATAATAATTCTGCTAACGAATTAACGGCCTTATTCTTTATGGATTAAGATAGAATTTTCGATTACTTAGCGCTGTAGATATTTATATATACATATATAAATCTTCCGAATAAGGATATCTCGTATACGTAATACATTTTGCGGTATTTCGTATTGATTATACAATAAATTTTAACTTTTATAATATAATACATTGAGGAGTTTAACACGCGACATGTATCTTTGTAATTAAAGGTGCGTTTTATTTGGTACATTAGCATCAACAGTTCGATGTTTTTAATTGAACTTCAATTAAGCTTACTCCGTTTAAATAGCAGAAGATATTTTTTTAAATTTCCTGTAAAGTTACAAAAATTTTGCAACAAATAGCATTTCACCTCTCCATATATATTATTATGTATTTATATATAAGAGGTATTAATTAATGTGAATTTGCCGTAATTTCTTTACTCCTAACTCCGACATGTTGTAACGGAAATATTTTGAACACAAATTTCGATACAGTTATAATAATATGAAAATCGACGGTAGGGTTGTCGATTGTAATTTTTTTTTTCTAAATATAAATAATGAAATTCACGTTATAAATAATAGATTAAAAAAAAACGGTTACAAAATTTCATGTGTGATATCCTCGTTTAGTCTTGTATGACAGACATCGAATTTCGTATTTACACGAGGAGCTTTGTACGACTGGCAACCCTGAAATAGGCATCGTCGTACGCGTCCGTATTAATTAAATTGAATAATAAAATAAAACTAATAGTATTCGTATTAGTTTAATAAACTAATATAACGCGACGTTATACAGTTAACCTTCCTATAACACGGTAGATACATTCCTACTATGGAGGGTAGAGGTAAGTATCTCAAGGTGGGTGGCGCATTTACGTTGTAGATGTCTATGGGCTCCAGTAACCTCTCAACACCAGGTGGGCTGTGAGCTCGTCCACCCATATAAGCAATAAAAAAAATGAGTACTGCGTGGAACCGTGTTGTAAAATACCGTTTTATAGGAGTCACCTATGCGAATTTCCGAAAGGTTTTTTTTTTTTTGTAGGTTCAACAAATACAAAAAGGTATACTAAAAAAAATTAGGTTGTCTGTAAAGTCTGTTTACGGACGATAGTATTACGTGATAACGTCAGTAGCAGAATTATTCGAACTGCTAGCTCTGTCGTCACGCGAGAAGAGAGATAATTGTGTCACAAGCCAACGCTTGGGCCGATCGTGCCTCTCTATTGCTTGTTCCGCGCTCGCGCTTGCACGCTCAGGCGGAACGTGACACTTTTTCATGCGTGCAGTCGGTCTGCATCGATTTAAAAGACGTTATCGCGTCAAAAAAAAAGCGTATATGCGAAAAATTAAAATTGCATCTACGGTTTTTGTTCTGACGTTAATTATCGTCACTAGATAGTTTGTTATACGATCGTTTGGAATACACGAGTATTTGTGGTCACCCCCGTGATCGATTCGGTCTTGTTATACCTAGACGTTTGATGAAAGCGCGCATAGAATTTCAGAACAAATCGCAAAAGCTGTTTGTATTTTCTCTATGATTCGTGAAGACCTTTTAAATTATACGTGCTGAGAGGCGTATAAATTATATTGGTCGTTTAAAAAAATTCCCGTACTCTTCGGAGGAGAGATCGAATGATAAAATCAAGGTGATTCAGTCGATGTATCATTTTTACTTTAACGCATCCGTTGTAACGCGCACTCATGTAATTTTAAAATCGTTTTTAAAATATAATTATGGAGGGTAGAATTAAGAAGCACCGTCTTGTATAGGGGACAAGTTGATAAAGTGTCCGCCTGTAAATAACAAGTTGTTGTTGGTAGACTCACCGACATAGCGATAGTGTAGGAAGTGGAAATGATATGATTTAATATTTTTCGTGATTTGTGTAAGTAACTAAAAAATATGCAGTAGGTATTTAAAATATGAACTATTTATTTTTACTATTCACGTAGGAAGTGTTTCTTACCAATCTTAATTTAGTAGCCTACTCTAATAGCAGTTTATGACACTGTGTTTTAAATCCTTCCACTTGCTACAGTGGCGCCATCTTAATTTGCTCCTTTTCAGCGAACACTTTTTAATACACGGAGATGGTGCTTAGTTCTACCCTCCATAAACTTAATGTACAGTCTGGTTGACGTATCACTGATTGAGTTCATTTTTTTTTGCGCTGTCACCGTTGGACTAACAAAGGGAATGTAGCCCATACGGCCAACTCTTATATTTTTAAGCCGAATTCATCGTGTGCTTTCGCTAAAAAGTCAACTGATATTGAATGCAATAAATAAAACAAAAAAATGTCAGTAAAACGGTGTAATTTGAGAAGGCCATAACGAGGGATGAAAGACTATTTATTTTGTTTTAAGTGAATTTTCGGTTAATAGGCGACATTTATCTTTATAATTAAAGGTTTGTTTTATTTATTACTAGTATCAACGATTCGATGTTTTTGATTGAACTTCAATTATGTTTACCACACTTAAATAGCTGAAGTTTTTTGTCACAATATTTTTTCCAAACCTTGTCACGAATGTCGCTTATACCAAATATCCTTTCACCCGTCGAAATATTAAATTTGCGTAATAAAATAAATCTAACATGAATTTCTTTCCCGCCATAATTGTATACGTCAAAATTGACACATAAACCAGACGTCAACAGTAGGGTAGTCATGTAATATAGATAATATGATAGTGTAAGGAATATTGGCGCGTTTTTTTTAAATTTTGTTTCTATTGAACTCAATCAGCGATGTGTATTTTTATATTAAAATGTTTGTGTATCGGATATCGTATGTAGTTATGATGTAATTAAATAAGAATTTTTAATGTAAATATATTTTTGTAAAATGTTACATTTTTTATTATTAATAATAAAAACAAGTTTTTTTTTAGAACTGTTTCTGTTGTTTTATTTTTAGTTTTTGTTTTTATATGCGAGTATTTATTGGGTATGAAAAAGTCAAAGCAAGAGTTTCTTGAAAATAGTTGCTCTGCTAGTGCGTCGAGCCCAATTGGATCGTCTATCTATCAACCCACAGACCACTTAAGACCAGGTAGAGCGTGAGTTCGTCCACCTGCCTAAGCTGTAAAAAACTTCTTAAGCTATTTGAATGGAGTAAACCTTATTTGAAGTTCGATTAAAAACATCGTACTGTTGATGGTGAAAGGAAGTTTTTTTTTTCTTAATATTTTTCTCCTAATTTAAGGCTTTAAATAACTCTATGCTATAATGCTATGCTATAATAATAGCTATAATGAAGATATTATATTAAAAAGCGGTATATACAACAAAGACCTGGCTCGTTTACTCCATTAAAACAGACGATGAATGTAAAAGCAAATGTTTTGAAGTCTTCGTGGCCTAAAAGATAAGACGTCCGGTGCATTCGTATCAAGCGATGCACCGGTTTTCGAATCCCGCATGCGGGTACCTACCTTTTTTTTCTACCTAAGCTGAGAGCCTTGAGAGGCTATATCAGCGTAGTCTTAACTAGTAGGTGAGCTCACGTGGCTCAAACCTGACGACGTTGCTAACACGAACCCTAGCAAGAGCCGTAAGGTACCTACCAATTTTTCTAATGAAATACGTACTTAACAAATGTTCGTGATTGACTTCCACGGTGAAGGAATAACATCGTGTAATAAAAGTCAAACTCCCAAAAATTATCATTTGCATAATTACTGGTGGCAGGACCTCTTGTGAGTCCGCGCGGGTGGGTACCACCACCTTGCCTATTTCTGCCGTGAAGCAGTAATGCGTTTCAGTTTGAAGGGCGGGGGGCGGGGGCAGCCGTGCTGTAAAAACCGATTCTTATGCGGGCCAGTCACATGCGGGCAAATATTCGTACATTGTACGAATGTTTGCGCGCATATGAAAGGCCGTCAAACATTCATTCGCAAACTTAGCACCTGTGCAAATGGGTTCGCATACTCAATTTGCGAACCCGTTTGCGCTTCCTCCCACACTTGTTTACGAATGTCTCGCGAATTTCTCCTCCTTTTTAATTCGTCAATAGAACATTGAAGAGAAAAAGAGTTTTGAATTCTTTCCCAGACATCATTAACAGCCATGCTGTTTTTATGGGATTCCTTTTGATGAAGATACGCTACACAGTAGACGTCACGAACTATGAAAATGGCGATACGTCCGTTACCTTCGCAATCGTCGGCGCAACTGGGCAAACGAATGTGTGTGAGACTACGCGAAGGTTCGCGGTTCGCGCGCTTTGATGTCTGTTAAAAAACCGACACAGCTTTGAAAACCACGAATGCAGCGAAAACTTTGCATAATCATTTGCAAATGTCGTCTTACACTTGCGAGTTTGCGTATTCGTGCGCATGTGAGTGACCGGTGTTAGAACTCGCGTCTCAATTTGGGTGACGTCATTTACTTTGTTGATGTCCACGAGCTCCGGTAACCACTCAAAACAAGGTGGGTCGTGAGAGCTCATGTGAGACTACCCTTTTAATCAATTAAAAAAAAACATTTCTGTAACTTCGTGCGATAAACGATCAGTCAAAACGCACAGAAACAGTGTGGGGTAATTCATTTTAAAGCCCTATATTATAACGTAGCAACGAAGAAGTTTGGAAACGCAGCGTCTCCAAATCGACGCTCCAATCAGTACCGCGACATCTCAAATATATCTACAATACTTATCTTTCAAGAGCGATCTAATTCGATATATCTGGATGATCAAAACATGCGTCCAGGCAAGTGGGTGTAACTTGGCAAGTCTTTAGGCTCCGCCTTCAATTGATATCATTTGCCGGTTCAAAATCGTACAGGGCGGCGATACGCTATGATTCCGACGACGCTTAGGCGCCGTTGTAAGCGAGCCCGTTAAATAATAGTGTTTATAATTGTATACGCGGAAATACGAAGCGATTTTGTAGTCACAAGATCCATTAAAAGATACCTTATAACAAAATGGCTTCTAGCGTGATTGGATCTACAAAAAGACACAGAAATGTATTGACACCGAACAAGTGAATTAAACTACTAAAGCCATGACTAATTTACATAATAGATAGCTTACCTACCTACCTACCTAATCGTTGCTTAGGTAGGTACTTAAAGTTACCGCATTACAGTCATTTGAAAAGCAATTTCCGAACAATTGTCAATAAATCCACAATTCTAAATGAATATTATTTTCAAAATGTGTACCTATTTTAATAATGTATTATAATCCTGTTTTTAAGTTCAGTCATTTGTTTCCTTCGGCACAGGGAACCCTGTTTTTAGACATTTGATTATAAAATTGTTAAAAAATAAAAATAAAACGACCATTAACTATACAATTTATTTACAATAAATATTTTACATAAAAATATTAGGAACTAAATAACCGTTAGTCTTATTTATAGATGAGCAAAATAAATTAATGAGAGAAAAAAAAAGTGAGCATTTTTTAATTAATAATACAATGTAGGTACTTAAACAACCAATGAGGTGGGCTGAAGACCTGATCAAAATAGCTGGTAGGGACTGGATGAGAAGACCGAAAGAGACCGAAAAGAATGGAGTGCATATGAAGAGTGTATACTGGTGGTAGGACCTCTTGTGAGTCCGCACGGGTAGGTACCACCGCCCTGGCTATTTCTGCCGTGAAGCAGTAATGCGTTTCAGTTTGAAGGGCGGGGCAGTCGTTGTAACTATACTTGAGACCTAAGAACTTATGTCTCAAGGTGGGTGGCGCATTTACGTTGTAGATGTCTATGGGCTCCAGTAACCACTTAACCCCAGGTGGGCAAAAAAAAATACTAAGAAACCTACACTCAACATTGGTTGAAGAAGAATACAATGTATTCATTAAATCTACAAATTGAACAAGATAATTCTCACTGGCAAATATAGCTATGGACTTGTTTTTATCGCATGAGAAATGTCACGTATTTTGAAACACCCTTAATTTGACTTCATTGGCTCAAAGTATTTTGTCAAAGTTGTAAAGTATATTTCCTCTTCATGCCACAAATTATTCAACACCATTGGCATTTCGATTTCATGATTTAAGGCATTAAAAATCATATCGCTCAAACCGAAATACGGATTTATTGTTGTGTTTTGTTCATTGATACACGTGAACACCTGTTAGGTGCGTATTTACCTAGTATAGTCTGTAATAGGTACGTATTTACCTAATATAGAGTGTACTAGGTACGTACCTACCTAGTATAGGGTGTACTAGGTACGTATTTACCTAGTATCATTACTTAGAATGGTAACAATATCACTAGTTAATTTCTTTAGACAGAGCCTGAACTATACAGCGGAGTCTCGCCAAACTGTTGACACCACAGCTGCTGCTGTCTCCTGAGGAACAAATCCATCATTCAATTAAGCACCAGATCGTAACGGCATAAGTCATAATTTACAATACATCGCTCGCTCTGCTCTTCGAAGTAGAATACATTGCGGTTTTGTTGCAGAAATGGACGGCTTAAGGTTCTTATCAGTGCTAGCTCAGATACACTACCAGTCCAAGAGCATTTGTTTAATAACCGACTTATAAGAATTATGAGATTATATCGAGGGGTGATAGGGCTTAAGCGACATGTTTGCGACTTTACAGAAGAGCCATTTAAAGCTTAAAATTTGGAAAAAGTATCGTATCTAAAAAAACTGCTTTAGCTATTTCTATGGAGTAAACGTTACTGAAGTTCAAATTAAATCATGGAATTGTTGATACTTAATACCGAATAAAACGCATCTTTAATTACAAAGATAAATGTCGCTTAAACCAAATAGCCTTTCACCCCTCGATATATTTGTAGAAAAAAAATTAAGTGCCTTACTTCAGATCTGATGTCATTTATTCTTTGAAAGCCAATGTTTCTGTTGTGATTCCATATAAATTTCATCAAGTTCCGATAGGTACTTTGGAATTTACCCTATTAATGCATAAGATGACTTCGACAATAAATCTGCACTGCTGCAAATAAGCACGTGTCAGGTACGTAAATTAAAAAAAAAAAGCTACTGTACAATCTGAAGGCTGTCATGTCACTGTCAAGTACTCGACAAATAAGGCACCGGGTCACCTGCCCATACGTTTCACAACGCCACACACACACACACACCAACAAACTCACCACTTAAAAACGGCCTCTCCTTTTCCGCCTTCGCCTCCTTAGCTTCGTACTGTGTCCTTACGACGTTCACTGGTGATTCTAAATAGCCTTTACACTTCTCCGACTCTAGCTGTAAAAAAAAAGAGCAAAATCTACATTAATATATTTAAATAATAATTGAAAACGTGTTTACGATTTTCGTCATTGGACTGTGGATTATTCGAAACATCGACAATATTATTAAAAATGTAAATAATAAACGTAACAGTAGTTTTAGGTCGACGTGTCCCAAAGGATAAGACGTCCGGTGCATTCGTATGTAGCGATGCAACGGTGTTCGAATCCCGGAGGCGGGTACCGATTTACCTATCTACTGAAATACATACTTATACGGTGAAGGAATAGCGTCGTGTAATAAAAATCAAACCCGCAAAATTACAATTTGCGTAATTACTTGTAGTAGGGCGTCTTGTGAGTCCGCACGGGTAGGTACCACCACTATGCCTATTTCTGCCGTGAAGCAGTAACGCGTTTCGATTCGAAAGGTTGGGCGGTCGTTGTGTTGTAAAAACGGAGGCCCTAGACCTCATGCCTCAAGTTGCGTGGCATAATTTTCATTCTAGATGTATATGGGCTAAAAAACTTATTCACGTCTCGCAGGACCAAAGTCGAAAGACGAAAGTCATCGGCTTAAGCTCTCAATACGCCCGATCAGATATAACTCAAACAACGGTGTGATCAAAATGATCAAATAATCAAATGATCACACAGACTTCGTTGTGGAAGTCCTTATTAAAATTCGTGTTTTATTTAAAAAGATTAAATCTACACCAGACCCGCTTAATTCTCAACACTAATCTGCACGACCAGTGTGCTTAGTGCGAGTTTTTTAACGTTCTCGATAGAGTAAAAGTTAACCCAATTTTGTATGCAGTTGGAACAGCGCCTCTCGCGGCAAATGTAGGCAAACGATTCCATTCCATACAACAAATATGAGTTAACTTTTACGCTATCGAGAACGTTAAGAAACTCGCACTAAACAGAGAACTGAGTACAATGTCGTAAGTTTTAAAACGAGATACGCGACGCGCTGAAGATATATCTAATATTAATTTTAGTGTTCAGTACATGTTATTTCAGTAGACGTCACGGCTAGTCGGCTTCGTTGAGCGAAAGGGCATTCAAGCCCTGATTTGCCATCAGATACCAGGGCTGAATTTAGATAGATCTAATCTTTTGTGTGTTGTAAATGATGACCATTGAGATTTCTATTTTCATTACTATGCTTAGTTTAATGATGACTAATTTTTAATTAAGACGGCTTAGTCACGCGTATTATTGTCTTATATTAAATATAAGTCGTATATTGAATATTATTTATTGACTTTATCACTTATTTAAAAGTGAAGGAGAAATGTGGTCATTACAACGCGTATTATTGTCTTATATTAAATATAAGTCGTATATTGAATATTATTTATTGACTTTATCACTTATTTAAAAGTGAAGGAGAAATGTGGTCATTACAATTTATTTAAAAGTGAAGGAGAAATGTGGTCATTACAACGCGTATTATTGTCTTATATTAAATATAAGTCGTATATTGAATATTATTTATTGACTTTATCATTTATTTAAAAGTGAAGGAGAAATGTGGTCATTACAAAAGTTTTGACACAGCTTTAAACACAGACGTAACGTAAAGTTAATAAGCATCAAATTGTCACGACAACTTTAAGACTACTGAAATTAAAATCGTTTGAAAATGATTGATTTGTACTTTTGGTTATCCGATTCCTTTTCGTTTCTTGGTCTGTAAACTTACAAAAAATACATGTTTTGTGTCCACAACAATAGTAAGAGTTTGAAGAGCGAACTAACCCAGTGACACAGCCCACTGAGAGTCTCGCCGGATCTCCTCAGTGGGTCGCAATTCCGATACGGTGGTAGATTCTTTGAAGCACTGCTCTCGTTAGGGCTAGTGTTAGCTATCAGATTGAGCCCATGAGCCCACCTATCCGTCAGAGCGTAGCTGGTATAGCCTCTTAGGTTACTAGCGAAGAGGTAGGTTTTTTTTTATTTTTTTTTAATGCTTAGATGGGTGGACGAGCTCACAGCCCACCTGGTGTTAAGTGGTTACTGGAGCCCATAGACATCTACGACGTAAATGCGCCACCCACCATGAGATATAAGTTCTAAGGTCTCAGTATAGTTACAACGGCTACCCCACCCTTCGAACCGAAACGCATTACTGCTTCACGGCGGAAATAGGCGGGGTGGTGGTACCTACCCGTGCGGACTCCCAAGAGGTCCTACCACCAGTGATTACGCAAATTATAATTTTGCGGGTTTGATTTTTATTACACGATGTTATTCCTTCACCGTGGAAGTCAATCGTGAACATTTCTTGAGTACGTATTTCATTAGAAAAATTGGTACCCGCCTGCGGGATTCGAACACCGGTGCATCGCTACACACGAATGCACCGGACGTCTTATCCTTTAGGCCACGACGACATTAAAGAAAAAGAAAGAAACAATATGGCTCGGAGCCGCTGAATATGGTAGAACGTTTTTACCTCTGCTTTATTTATATAACACACAATGAAATTTAATACGATTCTTATTTGTATCGTGTAGACAGAACTTTGATGCAAAAATACTTAACTATTACAAAACACATTTATAATTTTAATTGTACGCTAAAACTATGAAATGTAAACACGTGCTACTATTAAAAGAAACTGGCTGTAAACGTAGACAACAGAACAGATTAGATTGGATAATTTAAAATAGAAATCCTTTACAAAACTCTACTGAAATTTCATTTCGGGTGACTTCGTTACGCGCCAAAACCGACCAGCCACAGATTATACACTCAAATACACAGCTATTGACGACGTTTGCTAGAATTATATGATTTAGAATTAGTAACTGATGAATTCGCTAAAATTTCGTAAAATTTAATTAATGTATATTGTGAATTCGCTTGAATTGAAAAAAAAACTTCTTATCTTTTTGTTTTCTTATTTCTGTCCTCCGCTTCATTGTTTTACGTATCACCAACATTACCACGAAAACACTAATATACCAACATTGAAATAATAGAAAATTTTAACAAAAAAGAAAACCGACCTCAATAAAAACAAAATCAGATTCTCATTTAATGTAGTCGAAGTCCATTTAATATGCATCATTAATGATAACTCAAATACTATTATTCAGATCTAGTCAGAACATTTGAATGGGACCACACGAGAAGCAGTAACTTTGAAATAAAAAAAGTATCATCAAAATAGGTTCACCTAAAAAGATTCCTTACTTTTGGGAATCAGTTAAAAATAGCTCCAAACGTTACAAACCTTCACGTTATAGTTAGATTATTTATCTAGGTAGTTTATTTTTAATTTTATTTACTTATTTAATATTAATTTTATTTACTTATTATTTATTTAATTTTATTAAAATTAAATAGAAAAGACTACATGGCAGAATCGATTTTATTTCATTACAATCGTATACCTAATGCAAAAAGGATATCTTAATTTACAGACATTTGTAATTTACTTTTACAGTGTTCTAAGTTAAAAGCTGCGCTGCAAATGCTGCAAATACTAACTACGCTGTAAACTCTGTCAGTCTGTGATGTTTACACAGCCAAAATACCGATTACTATGAAATTTGATAATAAGGAAACAGTTCGAACCCTAGAAAAGTGTTTAGGCTACTTTTAATCCCAGTTTTGTCTACGCGAGCTTAACTGCCGACGGAAAGCTACTAGCTATAACTAGACAGAAAACGAAAGACAAAAAAAATCACCATTACCGATTGTCGGCAATCAAATCTATATATTACATTACCGATTCCGTTTTTGATACTTCGGCCGCGGTGTCGCGATGTTAATTCCCCATTAATTCACGTCCACCCGTTATTTATCGCTACACGACCGTCGGTGAGTCGAAATAGAACTGTAGAGATGCGCAGTGAATCATTTTAATTACCAGATATATACGTGGCCCGCGTTCAAATCTACAACGAAAATTTCGCTGGCTTGCTTGAGTGCGTGTGTGTGTGTGTGTGTGTGTGTTTTATTATTATTTTTTGTTTGAAAACTATCAGAATACGAGTATAACGCGCGATAATCACAAGTTCCGTGTTCATGGACTTGTTTTTTTATGCGTACCATAAATAAAGGTACAGGATCTATAGTAGAATTATTTTGTCCGTGCAGTTTGGGTCATAAAAAATCGGAGCGGTGAAGCGAGTACTTCGCTCTCTCTTCCACCCACGAGCCTTATGGATGGGCATAGTGATGCGCATTATTGTTGTCGATAAGCGTTATCGATAGTGTATTTAGCTTTGTCATTTTGTGAGTTAGTGATAAAAAAAAATCACTAATCGAACACTTACAACACATATCGTCGCAGCAAGTTAACGAGATCGGCAGAAATTAACACTTTGTTACTTTTTGGGATCTATTCTTATTTCAGTGAAAATTTTTTGCACATTGTTGATAACAACACGTGCCAATATTATTTTGAATAAATTCTGCCGTTTAGATACAAAACAAAGGAGTAGCCATTGTGTCACTAAAGAAATTCAGAGAACGAATGCATAAAAACACATTTCTCTTCGACATAATGTACTATAATTTGTAGGTAAGTACAAATGACTCTTAACATAACAATGTCTCACCACCCTTCGTATAGAACCCCGCCGCCGTGTACCTGTCTTCGATGACTCATTTGTTTATATCGATAATGGCGTTGCGCCCGCGCAACATGCTCACCGCCCTAGCCGGGCTATGTTTTATGACCCAAACTGCACGGACAAAATAATTCTACTATAGTACTATAGATGTCAAGGTCTCAAGTATAGTTACAACGGCCGCCCCGCCCTTCAAACCGAAACGCATTACAGCTTCACGGCAGAAATAGGCAGGGTGGTGGTACCTACCCGCGCAGACTCACAAGAGGTCTTACCACCAGTATTTGCGACTGCGTATTTCTTATACTTTATGGTTCACGTGGTAATAGACAATGGAGGTTCGATCTGTGCAATCACTCGGTCTTCGTACAATAAAAACGCGAGATTACATCGTAACAGTTATTTTAATTGTGTTTATGAGTACGACGAGACAATAAATAATAAATAACTGAGAAATACTAACGCACGGTCACCTGGCCCCCAATTGGGTTATGAATTTGCTTGCCTATCTGCTATCACGGAGCGAAGGTCAGATTAAAGATAAATTACCAGCACTGGCTTAGCAATGGCAATGCTTCGTTGAATCTACCATCGGATCGGAATCGCGACCTACTGAGAAGATCCGGTGAAAAACTAAGTGGGCTGTGTCTATCTATGGGCTAGACTGCACGTCGCATTCGTTGAGAACGATGACGTGTGCATGGAGAGCCCTAAAGTACCAAGAGTGGATCCGGGGGATCAGAAATGAGATGGTGTATGTTATGTTGATTGAAGATAGCTGCAAAGGTTTAAAAACAATTCGTAAAATCATTTGGTAACCACATAGAATTCTTAATGTGTCAATACAGATTTCCTAGAGTGAATGGTTTTTCTCCATCATCAGACCACAGCAACAGCACTGGGTTATGTCATCCTCTAAATGACAAAAATTAACTTTGACAAGACGAAATGCGCACATCGTCAATGTAGTCCAAGTCGATTAAACGTGAATCATTAATAGCTCAAAAACTGGTAGAATCTTGATAAGATTTAAACTGGATCACACGAAAAACGCCATCCTTCAAATAAAAAATCGGTTCACTCGGAAAAAGTTCTGAGTTAACAAAGAATACAGTCGGATTCATAATTTCCTACTTTCCTGGAATCCTGTTAAAAACCCAATAGCGTGTCGATAAGAGATTTTCAAATGTCTCACCACTGCGGCGGCCCTTAACGCTGCCTGTAACCGTTCTATATGCTGTATCGCTGCTCTGAGGATCTCCAGCTTCGGGAGGCGGCCGCTTCCAGCGCGCGCTCTGACCCTGAGCTCCTCAAATGCCGCGTTAACCTATGAAATAGAAATTACAACTTTGAAGAGATTACAAGTAATTAAAACCACAGTCGTGGTTTGATTTTGGATATTTTACTGTAATTACATTATTTGTTGTATAAAGACTTTTTGACTGACTAACTTGATGGTGCAGTAGTTAGCGCTCCTGACTGTTGCGCCGAGACTCGTGGGTTCGATTCCCGCATCGGGCAAACATTCGTGCGATGAACAGGTTTGTTTGCTCTTTGTTTGGGCATGTACTGTCTATATATTTAAATGTATATACAGTCTCTGGTACTCATAACACAGGGAATCCTAATTTGAGGCTGGATGACCGTGCGTGCTTTGTTCCCGGTTATTTATTTATATATCTAGTACCTCTTTGGACGTATTGACAATACACAATACCTTATAATTATTAACATACCTAATATCTAGTACGACACGGTAGACTTAAGTGAATATGTCGAATAAAATATAATGTATTAATCATTTCTGTTCAGGTAATAACCAGCATCCTGCCTATTTCGTCCCTTAAGCAGTAATGCTTTTCGTTTTAAAGGACGGGGCAGTGCTTTTACTGTAAAAACTGAGACCTTAGAACTCATGTCTCAAGTTGGCTGTTGGCATTTAAGTTGTTGACGTAACGTTTTTTGAAAACAAAAAAGTCAAATTTAACTTTGGATATATTTCGTTTTTTTTTTAAATACCCTCATTTGACGTCCAACGCCTAGAATTCGCACATGTTTTGAGAGTTTGGCGTTGCGATCGCCGCCTGACTCAGTCACATAATTCTCTTTGAGAACGCTACAAGTCCACTCCTCTGTAGTTCGATCCGTACTAAAATAGAAACGTTGTAAACATACAAACTTTACGACGCACTTCTTAATAACGCATAAAGACTGAATTATCGTATCTCACTGTTTAATATCATCTTTTTCTTTCCTTAATATTCCAATCGTTTTGTAGTTGTTTTTTTATTTTAATTATGATGGCAACACGTAAATCTTCTGTCATTTTGATAGCTCTATGCGTTCTGTGTTGTATTTTTATAATGTTGGCTAACTTAGTCATATTTATGTATGTTGCTTTGCCTGTATGTTCTGTATATAAAGGTAAGAAGCACCGTCTTATATAGGGCCGGATCTTCTCAGTGGGTCGCGTTTCCGATCCGGTGGTAGATTCTGCGAAGCACTGCTCTTGCTAGGGTCAGTGTTAGCAACACTCCGGTTGAGCCCCGCGAGCTCACCTACAAACGTTAGGGCGAAGCTGAAATAGCCTCTCAAGGCTATCAGCATAGGTAGGAAAAAAAAAAAAAAAACTTGTATAGGAGACAAGTTGAAAAAGTGTTCACCTATAAACAGCAAGCTATTGTTGATAGACCCACTGAAATAGCGCTAGTGTAGTAATTCGAAGTGATTTGAATATAGCAGTTTTAAACAGAGCGAAGTGTGCTGGACTGAAGCGATATGTGGTGGTTTATGGCCTCTCCTGGCTGAGCCTTTGCTCGCCCACGCGTCCTGGTGAAACTGGTAAGGCCTCCGGGGCACCAGTAATACTTTAATGCTATCAAACAAAAAAAGGCGCTGTTTTTTAAATCTATCCGCTTTTTTTTTTTTTTTTTTATTGCCTTTGTAGGCAGACGGGCATACGGCCCACCTGATGGTGAGTGGTTACCGTCGCCCATGGACTTCAGCAATGCCAGGGGCAGAGCCAACCCGCTGCCTACCGAAACCGCTTCCGCTTGCTACTGTGGCGCCACCATAATTAGCTTCCTTCTCAACGGACACTTTTTCATACACAGAGAGTGTGATTCTTACCTCTACTTTCTATATAAACAGATACAGACAGACAGAACTATGGAAGGTAAAAACAAGGAGCACATGTCAGTGTATTAAAAACTGTTCGTTGAGAAGGAAACTAATTAAGGCGGCGCCACAGTAGCAAGTGGAAGGGTTTTAAAAACAGCGCCACAAACTACCACACTTCACTTCAACCAAGTACACTTCGCTCTGTTTAAAACTAATTCATATAATTTCCACTTACTACACTAGCGCTATTTCGGTGAGTCTTCCAACAACAACTTGTTGTTTATTTTTTTTTTCCTACCTTAGCTGATGCTCTTGAAACTATTTCAGCGTAACCCTAACAAGTAGGTGAGCTCACGGGGCTCAAACCTGACGACGTTGCTAAGACTAACCCTAGCAAGAGCAGTGTTTCGTAGAACCTACCACCCGATCGTAAACGCGGCCCCCTGAGAAGATCCGGCGAGGAACTCAATGGGCGGTGTCAATGGGTTAATTTACTCCTAGAGCCCTTCGTCGCAAACGACGGTAGCTGTTTACAGGTGGACACTCGAATTTATAATAGAAAGTGGGGGTAGCTTAGTCATGAATCATTATAAACACCGTCCTGAACAATTGTTTACACGCGTTGGACTTACAATCAGGGCTCTGAAACTGCGATACTTTAAGACAACTATTTTTTTGTATGGAAACTAGCGACATCTCGTAGCGGATGCCCCTAAACATATATGTTGTTAAAGTGAAGGCATTTAATTATTGTATAACTAAACACAGAAAATAAAAATTAATAAATCATACAAGTCGCTATTTGTTATTTTTAATATATCAATGTTTTTTATAGAAAATTTACAAAATCCTTAATTAAAAATAAAATATAGGATAGGTAATATGTTACTGCCATCTACCGGAGCAATGAGAAACTAATCGAAGCGAGGCCATCTAGTGGCCGACGCCCGTAAACATTTTTGTTGAGTACTTGAGTTGCTTATCTATAACTAATTTATGTGTATTATCTACACTTACAATAGTTAACCAAAAACGTCAATATTAAGGAAACAGTTAACTTTAACTAATCTTAGTTAATTAAATAGTAATGTTGCGCCGGTGTATATATAAAATAAACATGAAAGAAATATTTCCAAAGATTCAAGATGACTAATTGGACATAGTCGAGAAATAATGTAGAGCAATAAATCGAATGGATTGTCATATTTCGTTTTTTTATTGCACTGTGTCATGTTTCTTTGTACCAAATCTTTTTGTTGTTTTTTTTACAAGAAAATATTTTTTTCTTACACTATTATATTTTTAATTCTAATTTATTAAAATTGATTTTTTATTTTTTAGTTGGATGTTCTATAAAAGCCATTTTTTATTATTTTTAACTATTATTTATTATATTTTTCATTTTTTAGTTAAATTTCAATTTTTTTATTTTTTTTTTAAATATATAATTGTCATCGGTCCTTAATTAGTATGCCAAATTTCGAGTTAATCCGACGTTTAAAAAGGGGTCAAAATCATGTTCAAAGGGTCCGTTACATACTAACATACATACGTCTGAAGCTAATAAAAGCGTATTAAAAACAATGGTCTCGAATCTGCGACATTGGGAACATGGCCCGCGCATCACCGAACCACAAGGGCATTCTCTTAAAATTCTCCAAAGTTTATTTTAATATCAGTTAAGTGATCGCCGAAATGTCCCCCTCTCCCTCCCCAGAGGGCGTCCTATTAACTTTTAAATGCTTTTAAATGGAGTGCACTGACAACTTAAATAGTTACAGAAACATTTTTATTGTCAACCGTACATTTTAGAAGGGGGAGCTTGTATATTTTTATTCTAAACAAGCGCGAACTGTAATAAGGAATACTTTGATAGGTGATTTTTAAAACTGATTATTTTTTTCCTACCTAAGCTGATAGAATTGAGAGGCTATTTGAGCGTAACCATAACTAGTAAGTGAGTTCACGGGGCTCAAACTGGAGTGATACTAACACTGACCCTAGCAAGAGCAGTGCTTCGCAGAATCTACTACCGGATCGGAAACGCGACCCACTGAGAAGATCCGGCGAGAAACTGAGTGGGCTGTGTCTATGGGTTAATTCGCTCATCAAGCCCTTCGTCGCAGGCGACGGGTTCGACGAGGATGGTGACCGGTGCTTGTGGTACCTAAAAGCACTGTTAATGGATCGGGAGGATCCGTAATGACGTGTTTAGGGGGACGTCGACTGTTTACCATTCGGTCTACAGGATCGGGTATGCAGTTTCCAGCGGCCACGAAAAGAGGGTTCTCATGTCGTGCCGCCTTTTCAAAGTGGCGTAATGATGCCGACTGTAGATACTTACTGACCGAGTCAAGTTCCAGGTCATCATAGAGATCCACGTTCCTCAGGAACCATGGTGCTCCGACGGCTATCCTGCAAAATCGGGATTGAATAACCTGAAGGGGTTTCAAGTTAGTGAAACAACTGAGAGACCCTTTTTATAGGGAGACCTCTTACAAGGTCCCACACCTGGGGGCGCGCGGGTTATGTGGGATTAGATGACCAGCAAATGTTTGAGGCGGACCTCAGAGCCAACGCGATGGTATTTAGGGTCCTACCCACTAAACGACTCCCCTGTACTCTCGCCCCAGTGTCCGATCCCCCCCGAGGTCAGAACCCGGGCAGGGTAAGGATATTATCGCGGTCAACACGTCGCCCGGCTAAACGACGCCGCTGGTGTCCCGGGATAACGCGCTAGGTCAGTATACTCAGTGAGAGCTTTTTAACGTTCTCGATAGCGTAAAAGTGAACTGAAATGTTAACTTTAACGCTATCGAGAACGTAAAAAACTCGCACTAAGCACACAGGACCAACCTATCGGGTCGGGTCACGACACTCCAACCAGAGAATACATGGCCAAAGAATTAAAGGTTTTTAACACGCTTTAGTATGCATTGTACACATCGCACATACGCGCGGTAATATAAAGTCACTTAAGCAATTTTTGTTAGCATCAGTGTTGTTATCACTGAGTATGAGAAAATACATTTTTTAATAGTTATCAGTGAGACGAGAGAGATGTTTGCTTTTACTGATCAAGTATAAAGTTGTAGTTTAAATATTATCATTTTACTTCTATAGCCTAGAACTATATAAAAATTAAATAATAAGATCTTGAATTTCTCATCATTTCTCCTGAAAAATTACATAATCTGCATAAGTGACGTTACTGCACCGTATGTGCGCGATAAGTATGTTTTTTTTTATTATTGCTTAGATGGGTGGACGAGCTCACAGCCCACCTGGTGTTAAGTAGTTACTGAAGCCCATAGACATCCACAACGTAAATGCGCCACCCACCTTGAGATATAAGTTCTAAGGTATCAAGTAACTATAGTTACAACGGCTCCCCCACCCTTCAAACCGAAACGCATTACTGCTTCACGGCAGAAATAGGCAGGGTGATGCTACCCACCCGCGCGGACTCACAAGAGGTCCTACCACCAGTAATTACGCAAATTATAATTTTGCGGGTTTCATTTTTATTACACGATGTTGTTCCTTCACCGTGGAAATCAATCGTGAACATTTGTTGAGTACGTAATTCATTACAAAAATTGGTACTCGCCTAAGATTCAAACACCGGTGCATCGCTCAACACAATGCACCAGACGTCTTATCTATTAGGCCACGACGACTTCAGATGTTTATAAGTAGAAGTCATTACCACCGACCTCAAGTCGACCGATTTACTTGAAAATTTGCACACACATCAAGGTCCGATGATGATACAATAGTTCTATGAATTCACTCAGACTAGTGGTCACGCAGTAATCGAAATTCGACTTTAATTAATTGAAATTATAAATCTGAACATTGTTATGGTTCCGTTGTCAAAGACAATTAAACTTCTATAGTCACAGATTTCGCCAAGACTACACTATAGACAAATAATATTAAAGATAAACAATATTAAACTATTCTCAATTTGACCACAGATTTTAAGCAATAATAAAAGTTTGATAGTAAAGGAAGAGTATATATATATGTGTGTGTCAAATACATGGTAGTGTGTGTAACGTTTTATTTATTGATTTAATGTATATATTATTAATGCATTATTTAAATAAAATATTAGCATTCTGCACTCTTTCTCTATATTCTCTACAAGTGTGGAAAATTTCATACTCCTCCGTCCGCGCAATTTTCGTAAAAACGGGGTACAAAGTTTTTGCTTCACGTGTTAATATACAGATATCCTGACAGGTTAAAAAAAGATCGTCGAAGTCGAAAAAAGAGGTTGTACTGTATGAATGCAGTAAGGAGCTTTTTTCTTTTCATTTTACTTTTAGATGATGTAAAAAGGTAAAACTAAGAAGAAATTAATGATAATCATTGTTTTTGTGTGGATTCTCTATAAATAAATTAATTAAACATAAACAAATATAAACAGTAGTTATAAAATTAAAAAAAAAACACTCACAGGAAAACCTGTAAATAAATTTGTAATATAAAAATGTTGCCAGAATTGAATACATTTAAATTCCCGGAAATTCTCAATATTAATTCCATGTAATCCTTCGTACGTGACAGACGGACAGAGAAACTGTATTTATGTAGAGTTAAGAGGTGCTCAGGGGATTAAAGCAGTTTAATTTTGTAACTTTACGTTGGCGTTACAAGGATTTTACATTATACTTGTTTTTATTATTTAGGGTTAGAATGGGAAGTGAAGTATCTTGAGTGATGTACCAATCCCGTTATAATGACGAATCCGTACTAGAGCTAAGAGTTCAAAGCAGATTTATTAAGAGAGTTAACATCTATATTTAGAGTAGTCTTCAATCTTGAAATACGGCTTAATTTCGCATTTACTTATTGTTTCTCAAATATGTACTAACTGTGGATAACGATTCCGATCCAGTGGTAGATTTTGCAAAGCACTGCTCTTGCTAGGTCTAGTGTTAACAAATTCTTTAAGGTTGAACCCATGACCTCATCTACTCGTACCAGCGAATAGGAAGAAAAAAAAAACAATCGTCGTGGTATAGATAAAGTAAATTTTAAGTCAACAATTTCAGTTGTTTACTGTTCACTATCTACTCGTGGGTTGTGTTAATGGAGGAAATATGATTGGTTGTTCTTGTAACTGTGGCGGGTAGCCATCATACAACGCAAGATAATTGACAGATGCCTGAATCTCGCTTACTACATTTTCCAAATAAGCTTGCATATATACAAGTTCCGAACAACAACATAAGGACCGTCGGTCTACCGAGCAAATATCACCCGCTCGGTGGAAGATCTTCCCTTTGTCGTTAAGCCTTCCCAAAGTAACTATATTTAATATACTATGTGGATGTATTATAATGTTAGTAAACCAAATAAATAACAATAACTATCGTGATGAAAAAAAAAGTAGCGCGATTTAGTTTAGATTCAATGGCCGAAGGCAGATGCTAACAGGACCTATCTAATGTAAAGTTCTAAAGTCGCAAAGCCAATCACTTCACTAAGAGGACTCTTTTGAACAACGCTTAAATGTATGATGTAACAGCGTAGGACTGGATATAATCTTACTGGTGGTAGGACCACTGGTGAGTCCGCGTAGGTAGGTACCACCATCCTGCCTATTTCTGCCGTGAAGCAGTAATGCGTTTCGGTATGAAGGGTGGGGCAGCCGTTGTAACTATACTTGAGACTTTAGAACTTATATCTCAAGGTTGTAGATGTCTATGGGCTCCAGTAACCACTTAACACCAGATGAGCTGTGAGCTCGTCCACACATCTAAGCAATAAAAAAAAACACCTTAAAGCTACGTCATAATAATAAAATCGCTAAAGCTAAAGTGGTAGATGAGTAGAAAAGGAATAGCATTATTGCGTAAACGGGGAAATAACCAACGTAAATTTGAAAGTAATTTTCTTATAGTCTTACGCTAATCGATACGGCTAGTATTTAAGAGGGTCGAATTTATGTAGTAGTTAGAGTATTAGAGTTAATTCGTTGTGAAATTACATTACTGCTTAATGAAACTAAAACAAATTAACGTCGGTTTTCGCGAGCCGTACACTTAAAACTCCATTTATGGTTTGATCGCGTATATTTTAATTATCATTACATTATTTGCGACGTTTCAAATACACTATAATTTTGTTGTGGTAGATTTACTGATGGTAGGACGTCTTGTGAGTCCGCACGTGTAGGTATCACCACCCTGCCTATTTACACCGTGAAGTAGTAATGCGTTTCGGCTTGAACGGTAGGGCAGTCATTTTACTGTAATTAAAATAACTGAAAAAAATACGCTTTTATAGAAAATCCAACTAAAAAATAGAAAGTAAATTTTAATAAATTTGAATTAAAAATAGTGTTAGAAAAAATGATGTTATTGTAAAAAAGCGGGGGGTGCTTTTCAGGTATTATCAAAATAACCCTTCTACTCATATCCGTTCATAAAATATTTATAACTACTGATACCATGCACCCCATGGTTTTTTTACAATAAAATCATTTTTTCTTACACTATTTTTAATTCAAATTAATTAAAATTTATTTTCTATTATTTAGTTGGATTTTATATAAATGCGTATTTTTTTAGTTTTTTATACTACCTATTATTTATTTTTCATTTTTTAGTTGAATTTCAATGTTTTCAATTTTTTTTTAAATATTGAGTTGTCGTCGGTCCTTAATAAGTATTCCAAATTTCGAGTTAATCCGACGTTTTGAAGGGGGTCAAAATCATGTTCAAAGATTCCTTTACATACATACGTCTGAAGCTAATAAAAGCGTATTAAAAACGGAGACTTTAGAACTCATATGTTACGGCATGTTTATGTTGTCGATGTCTATAGGCTCCGGTAACCACTTCATACCAGGATATCTGCAAGCTCGTCCACCCGTCTAAGCAATAAAAATTAAAATAAAAGAATAAGTTTATACATACGTATATTTATTGAACACGATAACAATAGCAGAAAGAAGGCCAAGATTCTTTGATCTTAATGCGGTGAAGGCAGAACTCATAAGAGACCACAAATAGAAAAAGCGCGTCTTTAAAAAAACATGGAAATTAGCAGAAATCGTGAAGAGTTGCGTTGTGTATAGTAAAACACATATTCGAAACATGATTCAAAGCACGTAAACTCGTAGCGAGGTACACAGAATTTCATGAACTTAATGCAGAACACCATGTCCACACGGAGGAGTATCGAATTATTTAAATACATTTCCAAAAAGACATGCGACAATTTAGATAAGTTGCTCGTAACAGGCCTCTTTGAAGGCCCCAATTCATGATTCCATCAACGCAGCCCAGGATAGCCTGAGCTGGTGTAAGATCATCCAGGAAAAGTTATTCAGAAACCCCTCATACTCAACTACCATTTTCAACCTTATTATTATTAATTCTTATTCCAATCTGTGAGTTTTTTTATGAGCGTTATACTATCTATAATCAGTACTTATACTGTAAGCAGGTAAGGGGAAATTTGAGAGTTTTTTTTTATTTATTTGAACTTCATACTGAACCTAAATATTGTATACTGTTTTACCACATTTCGCAGACTTACTTTTCTAAGTCGTCTTCTTTCACGTAATGTAGCCGCTTTTCGTCTGTCGACAGCGGCAGTTTTCCTCTTACAAGCCTTGCAGGCCCACGCGAGGCATCTCCGGCTCGGACCCAGCACGTGTTGAACGTGCTCTTCACTTTCAAAATTATCCACGTTTTTACTTTCTTTTTTAACTTGGCAACACTGTCCTTCGTTTTTCCTGTATTCTTCGTACGTGTAGTTCATTTTTTTAAAATAAAAAACTATACATACAATTATTGGATTCTATTCGAGCAAAACAATATTTAATTTACTCGCCAATTTTACAATTATTTTAAAAGGAAATCGTTGTTTCTGTTTGTTTTATTTTATTTGACACTCAATTGATATTTACGATTGAAAAAATTTTGGCGGTAAATTTTGACACTTCAACTTTTTCACTAATTCGTTATGACTTCTGAAATTTTTTTTTTTTTTCGTTTTTATTTTTGTTGTTTGATGTTTTGTAGACGCGCTTCGTTCCGCGTCGAGTTCGCTACTGAATTCGAGGGGTGTATTTATGTTTAGTATTCAACAAAATATGCTTTCTAATAATAAACGTGGCAGCGACGCCGTTGAGAGATGACAATTTATTAACGCTTATATTAAAATTGATGCCCGCAATATATTTAGTTTTGAATTTGTAAGACTGAAAGCGTCGAGACGTTTTTATTTGAGTGTCTCGTTTACGGAAAGAGAAACGAAATGTGTTTTTTTTATTTTTTTTTATTGTTAAATTATTATTTTTTTGTCTCATTTAAAAAACAATGTGTTTGGAGTCGCGCGTGCTTAAAGATCAACGCGTCCATTGCTGCTTTCGAATACATTGGAGACCGCACTAAATGCCATTTCCTATTTTACATGTATTTAGTTTTTATTTCAGACTAGCTGATCCGGCAGACTTCGTACTGCCTCAATTGACAAATAAAAGACCAAAACTTTGGTATAAAATAAATTTAAAACAAACAAAAGGAATCCATCCGACGGGGAACACATCAAAGGGAAAAAATGTTATTTTTATTTATTTCCGAGCATTTTCATGTTTATTCACCTTTCAAACCTTTTCTGGACTTCCACAAATAATTGAAGACCAAAATTAGCCAAATCAGTCCAGCCGATCTCGAGTTTTAGCGAGACTAACGAACAGCAATTCATTTATATATATATAGATTTTAGTATCTGCTGGGTCACCATCGCCTCATTGCTAGAGTTGACTATACCAGCGGCTGCCTGAGAGCGTAGATATCACGAACATACCGCTACACACATTGAGAAATGAGGTTAAAATCACCCATAGACGCAGCCCACTGAGTTTCTCGCCGGATCTTCTCAGTGGGTCGCGTTTCCGATCCGGTGGTAGATTCTGCGAAGCAATGTTCTTGCTAGGGTTAATGTTAGCAACATCGTCAGGTTTGAGCCCCGTGAGCTGATCTACTGGCACAATTACGCTGGCATAGCCTCTCAAAAAGAGATTAAAATCTTATTTGTATTATAAAAATGTTGTCCCAAATTAAAACCACAAGTTTCACGTAAGTGCTCACAGCACCTCGAGTCGTGGTCGAGGCGATTGGCCAACCCCACGTGGGGGCTACGGACCGTCGAGGCGGTTTACCCGGTATTTGATGACTGGGTGAATCGTGGCGAGGGACGTCTCACCTTTCGTCTGGTGCAGGTGCTGACCGGGCACGGATGCTTCGGGAAGTACCTGCGCCGGATAGGGGCTGAGCCGACGACGAGGTGTCACCATTGTGGACACGACCTGGACACGGCGGAGCATACGCTCGCTGTCTGCCCCGCTTGGGAGGTGCAGCGCCGTG